GATCAGAGTTACAACCACCCATGCAACACTTATTTCCACGATCACAGTTAACATGCTTTAGCTAATGGCTCACTCCTCTTGAATCTGCCCACTCAGCACATTGCGATCTGCCACATTGGATAATCAATAATCGAAAAGAACACTGCAGTCTGCATTTAGAAACTACTAAAACAATATCCTCATGTATGAGTAGATGCAGAGAGATCTTTGGATGGTGATTGACCAGCCATATCTTAATATGATAATACTCTTTTCTTGATTATGGTTCATTTGGGAGTCATTCAGTCACTCATTGTCTCTGTTGTTATCTCTCTTTTAATTCAGTTTAAAAGTGAATTATTCAAATTTTAAGCCCGCTGGGTTTAAAATGATTAAACCTTTTTAGGGGAACGTTCTCCGTTCATAATACATTGCATTCATTTTACGTGTCCTGTGGAGAATCTTCAATTCATTTCAAGTTCAGCTCGTCTCCTCCATGATCTATTCTAGACGGTGTTGAGCCTTCCTGGGCTGGCACAGAGAACATGTTGCTAAGTGCTGCAGCCCAAGAGGACATTTTAAGTGAGAAGTGGGCTGTGTGGAGTGGAGTTGGCGTGGACCAACTGCTATAAACAACCTAAGGCAGGGGTAGAGAATAGTGCTGAATACAAATTGCCTCGCAGTTTGCCAGCAGTCAAAATTTTCCAAGCAACTGTTGAATTATGTATCTTAATTATTGATAATCATTGATAATCAATTAACACGATCCAGACATTTTTGTTATGAGATTTCTGGTTAAGTATGCTGGACATAACATAGGGACACCACACTAAGATCCTGATAACATACATTTCCTGGGTTTCCATATTTAATTTAGCATTTACTGATCTGTCATTCATCTACATCAACTGAGACTTAACATTTTAGTAATGTGCTTCTTACCAGACAGCATTATTATGCTAATTCAATTCATTTTCCTCATGCAGTTTGAATCTCTCAAAAACAGCGACAGCAGAAGTGGAAACTAACGGGCAATCAGCGGGCCAATAAAGGTTACCGCTGCAGGCATTTCAGCAAAGCACAATTTGTCAAAGACCCTAATGACCTAATGAAAATGCTACAGTGGCACATGGAGATGTTTTTGCATCTTATGCATACTTTCATCTCTGGTGTGGATACAATGAAATGAATCCAATTATGATACAACTGTCTTTTATCTGATTAAAAGAAACCTGCCAGAGTGAACATGGCAGCATATTTATACTTGATCTCTAACAAGGATTTACTGATGTTAATACAGCTTGCAAAATATTAAAGGCTCCAGTTAAATCTGCACAGATGTATTCCTTCCACTGAATTTTTTTCTCCAGCTTGTTGCTATGGTATTCTGTTTTCCAACGATGCTCATCTTGGGAAAACACCAAAAAAAGAAATGTTTTCACTGTCTGAAAATTAGGTAATGGGGTGTTTAGGGCCATGTAGTTGGTTTAGTGCCTGCAAGTGTACCACAAGCATCTCCTGAATATGAATGCACTGCAACAATAGAATGCAAAACAAAGCCTGTTTTTCCTCGTGGGACTTGTTGTGGTGCTAACATATATGAGCTGTATTTCAGGCTCTTGTTCCAGTTGCAGAGGTTGGGTCAACATGATTTGTAAGGCAGCTCTAAATCCTTGCAAGGGAGTGCAATCCAATTTTTACCACAAAATCCCGAAGCTCATGGTCACACATTTTTTGATCGTCGTTCTGATCATCAGGCAGGGTAATCAACCAACCTTTGTTCCCGTGCAATAGATCTCATTCATATTGAAATGTTTCTTCAAGGGAATTCAAACCAGAAGCTCTCACATGTGAGTACAATGTGAGCGGTGATAAAGGGGGTCCCGCCATGCACATCGCCAGACATCAAAGTGGCGCGTGCAAACATCTTCCGAGCTGATTGAGGTGAAGGGCATCGCCGTGGGCTAAATCAGCTGAAATGATAACAATAGATATGCTGTTCTTTACCAAAGTACCACACAGTTCTGCCAAGCGTGACATCCCCCCCCCCCCGCTGTTCAATCCTAGCCTCAGGCTGGCTCGCTTGCCAAGAGAAGTGCCTTCACTCAGGCATAACGTTGCAGTTTCTGTGAACTTTGCTGGACTTTTGTATGCAGACTGAAGCAAGCTTTTCAAGCCTGATATCAACCTGAGTAGATCGCACAAAGGCACTGACGTATGCACGAGTCTTGATATGTAGTCGGATGCGAACAGGACATATTTTCTCTTTTGTTTTTTTCTTTCTCACTGGATACAAGTGGTAAGTCAAAGGCGAGCAGACTTGTTGAAGAGGTTTCAGGACTCTCTGAATCTTAGAGAGAGAACATATAACATCTCCACTTGCCTTGCTTTAACATAGAGCAATCGTAGACATCCTTTTTTAACCTGGGTGACTGAGAGTCTTCACAGACATGCACAGAGCGTTCTTTCCCCGTCTTGGTGCCATAGCAACAGAGTATGAGGCTGTGTTGGTTCATCTTTACAGGACTGAGGGAACAGGGGAGGCACCTGTTTCTTGCCTGACATCAGACGGAATTGTCAAGTCGTTTCACTCTGTTTCCATCTTCAGTCTGACATTGCCTCCGCGCTAATCGATTTCCATGGGGGGGGTGGTGGGGTTTGATGTTCGCCATCCAACCACTAGAGACCGATGTGTCCGCCTGAATCAAAAGTCATTTTAAGCCGACGAGTGATGTTTTGCCATGACAACATACTTTTGCACGGGTGTTTTAAGAGTGGAGCGTAGCGAGTTATTATAAGAGAAAGTAAAAAAAAACACACAACTAGCCTACAATGTCGGCCGATATTGAGAAGACAATGTCAAATGAATTTGTTCATCAAGGGGGTCATATAAAATTAAAAATGATTATTGAGCAGCCCAAACGGGAAAGAGAGGCCAATGAATGAAGGATTCACAAATGTCGGGGTAATTCTCCCATATAGACCCGACGACGAGTGTGGGAGGATTTGTCTTAGATTACTTGTAGATGTTGAAGATTCACAATGTATTGTAAAGGGGTGGCAGTCGGTGCTTAACGTTGGGGTTACACAAATTCAGAACAGCCTGGATAGCAGCGTCAATATGTCTGCAGCAATCTCCATTGTTGTTTTTATTACTCCTAGGTTCCTGCGCAAGCTACAACTTGACAATGGCGCTAGTCCCGCCCCTGGCACTGATTGGCTAATTGTTAGTTTCCCTGCTGCGGTTATTGATCGATTACTTTTTAATAAAAAACAAGCGCTGTTTCATGTCGCGTTGCGAGACGAATCAGTTGACTCAAACTCGTGGTAGTGGGCGGATTCAAAGGTCTGGACCCAGGAAAAGCTGTTTCTGCTTTATCTGAATGGACCACAATTGACTACAATGAAATAACTAGCAACACTGTAACCTCGTTGTCTTTGTGTTTCTGTGTGACTGTGCTTCTGTCTCCCCGATGAACACACGGCGAGACTTCCCACACTTTATTATTTAATCACATCCTGAATTAGTTTGCTTGTGATTTCCTGCAATCTCTAAATTAAAGCGCCACCTGCCCAATCTCGCCGGGAGCCAGTCCTCTCGTAACGGCTGTCTGTGCTTTTTTAAAAACTTCTCTCAAAGGTCTCTGTGTTCTCTCTCCATGTCTGCATTGGTTTAACCAAGCCAACTAGGGTGTCAAATTGAAATGCAGACAGTCAGCCCACCACTCAATTATGAAATATGTTTTGGTTGTGAGACTGCATGTACAGAAACAAATTGTGCTCATACGTACTGTTGCATACCACTGTTATCGAAAGAGGATGCATTTCAACTTAGAAAGGCTTTAGAGGCTGATCAAGGTTCTCCAGAGTGCTTCCGTCGAAAATGTCATCGGCTTATCCTAATTCATCAGTGGGACTGTGGCAGCACAGCAGCATCTGCTGAATCTGTTTCAGATTCTTCCCACCTACATTGTATTAACTATTCATAGCCTGGCAGTGAGTTATTACAGTGAATGACAGCACAGCGGTCAGAAGAGAGAGGTAGCAGAAAAAAATAGCAAAACAAAAGCAATGGATCGGTGCAAACAGATGACGTTAATGCTTACAACCTCCAAGAAAAGACGGATGACAATTTTGATGACGGTGCTTGCCTTGGGTTTCAAATCCTCTCGTTTTTTCCTTTTGAGGCTAAAAGGAAACTTAAATAATGTGTTTTATCTTCGCATGTTACAAGCTTGAGACCCTGACTCATAACGTTTTATTATTGACTGCACGGCTGTTCATTTAAAACATTTAATTTTTTTTAATACTTCTGGAAAACATGGTTGGGAATTCAGTTTATAATAGAGGAATTCATTTTGTTATTTGTGCTTTCATGTATATATGATCTCTCTTAGGCTCATTGAGCAAAAAATTGAAAAAGCATTTGTTTTAACAGCAGCAGTCTGTCGTCAGTTTGTCCACCACTTTGGTCCAGATTGAAATATTTGCTTGTCGTGGATTGCCATGAAATTTTGATAAATTATCCCAATGACTTTGGCGATCCGTTGACTTTTCCGCCACCAAGAAGTTGACATTTATGTTATTTAAAAAAAAATGTCTCGACAACTATGAGATGGCTTGCCGTGGAATTTGGTGCAGACATTCATTTCTAAAGGTGACTTATAACAACGACCAAATACTGTACCTACAAAACTGCCTCAACTGTATTTTGTGTTTACATTTTCATGTTAGCATCGTCATTTTGAGCATGTTAGCATGCTGAAATTAGAATTTAGCATAAGCACTACACTAAGTCAATATAAACTCATAGCAAGCGGGCTGTAGATTCACTTCTTCATATTGGTGTGTTTTTATCTTGTGAAAATACAAAACCAGCAAAAGAAAAGAAAAAACATTATATGTGTGCATATATATTTTATCTCTTGAGACAGCTGTCAAATAATGATTACAGTTCTGGATATCTTACATACTGATATTTAGAGAACATTACTCAATAGATTTCTACTTTTCAGTGTTAAGTTACAGCCCAGCATTTTCGCAGAGCTTATGAATTAAAGTATGAAATAAGAAAATCCAGGAAGCACTGTCCATCCGAGTTCTGTCCCGAGGCAAAGACAGGTTTCTCATCTCGTATCTCCTCTGGAGTATTTAGGATTTTCCGTTCTCCTACAATCCGCTCTGTTTTTGCCCCCGAGAACCTGAGTTTAAAGCCAGCAAGAAGCCGCGCGGAGGTTAAGAAAGAGAAAGCGATGTGCTCATTCAGATCACATATATACATATGCTCACTATAGAATCCTCCTCTTCACGGTCCTGCTGTGCAGTTTCTAGTTGGATAAGACTGAGCCGTCGTAGAATAACAAGTGGAACAACAACAGAGTCACACAGTCGCCGACACCTCAGCCAGTAAGAGACTGAGCCCACTCTGTTGTGAAGATAAGAGAGATGAGGCAATGCGGGACATCTGGTCATTCAACACTACATGTCGGCCCCATGTGCCCTTCACCCATAACTTAAAGCCTGATCTATTGTTACCAGAGGCTAGTGTTGGCAAACTGCAGATATCTGTGTTTACATGTGAGCTGGCTGGGATATTACAGAACATATGTGGTATACAGAAATCCATGTGCAGAAAGAGAGCAGATATGCATACAACAGGTGCTATTTATAGTGGTAAAACCTATTTCATACAAATGTTTCTTTATTAACATCCTCACATGTCTCTATTTGCCCACATATTCTGTTGTCATATTTCTTTGTTTGTTGCATCTATTTCTGTAAAATTCAGTGGCTAAATAACAGGTTTGCCTTGCCAGAGGCATCTGGTTCTAATCCTAAGTCAGTTTAGCCAAGACCCATTTTCATGCATCCTGTCTTCCCTCAAAACATGGATGGATGTGCTCCTTTGAACAGAAGCGGTCTCACTCCTGGCTCTGAAATGCGCATGCTGGCAGTGGCCCCGTAGAGAGATGGGAAGAGCTAATGCCTGTTTATAAAATGACTTCCAGTAGTTGGGCAATGATGATCATAAAAGTGAATTATTATCAAAACTAGAACACTGAATTCTTTCTCCCTCTCATTCTATGCGGGCATGTGTGTGTGTCTGTAGCCAACTGTTGGCAAAAATCTAGCAGTATGCCTCGTGGCTCAACCTGAACAGCTCTTACTTTCATAAGCTTTCATGCCAAAGTGCCAACTTTGACGCTGTGTATCACAAATCAAGGGCTCGTTTATTGTCAATTTTATCAGCCAAGGCTTCTGTGGAAGAAAACATGCACACATTGAAAACACACTGACACAATAACACATCAGATTCCCTCTTCTTTTGGGTCTGCTTTTATGAAAACAAGTATGGATTTCCAAAAGGTGCCTCTGATGGAGGTAATTGTCCACATTTTCTTTTCTTTTTTTACCTCTTTTGAACATGAAAATGGATACTGAGATGAATGGCAAACAACACATTTCTGCAACATTTGCTTTTCCTGAGCTGGGTCACCACACAGAACAAGACCTAAGAGGCGCAATGGGTGAATAATCAACCATCCTCGGGCAATCTGGGGAGCAGTGAGATGTAATTTGAAAAAGTGAATCCTGAAGAGCACCAAATGGCTCCAAGTCAACCAGCGAGTCATGCGATTAATACATATAAGGAGTGCTAAGAGAGATCCGTTGTCACCAGCACTGTCTTTTTCTTCTTTTTAACCATATCTAGGATTTCTATTTCTATCTATATTCCATGCATTTCATCATTCACCACAGAATATTGTTTTCACTAAAACCACCATTGCAGTCAGTGGGCGTATTTTCTTTTCATATATATTTATGTTTCCTCATCATGATACATTACTCTGTTTAACTGGATATGTAGTATAATCTAAATTACTATTGTATATTTGTATTACAATTGAGGCTATTTTGTGTGTATGTGTATATACTGTATATATATATATATATATATATTCCATGTCATTTGAGGTCTGTCAGTATAAATTAAGGTAAAAGGTTGAGGTCGGGTAGAGACCAGGTGCAGTCTTGTCTTACAGATCATAAGATCATAGTCTAACTTTGTGTACAAAAAATGTGTAGAAAAAGGATAATTTTTATAGTATTCTATTGTATTCTGTTATAACACTTTAAGTCATGTGAAAACTATGTATCTCTAAAATATAAACTTTTCATGAGCTAAAACACCCATTTTAAGCTTTGAAACAATGCATTTTGAAAACACAATGTTTTATTTAGCCTTGCTACCGTCATGGCTTTAAGGATGGCAATGTCAGTTCACGACGATGAGACTACCACTTGGTCCGAAGTGAAATACCTCAAAAACTATTGGATAGATTGGCATGACATTTGGCGTGATGAGTCCTTAGGACTTTTGGGATCCCCTGACTTTTTCCTCTAGCACCACTTGTGTTTTTCAGTGAGATGTTTCGAAAGGAATTGCCACGTAATTGGCACATACATTCAAGTCCCCCTCAGGATGATTGGTAATGACATTGGTGATCCCCCTAACTTTTCATCTAGCGCTATAACCAAGCCAAAGCTTTAATTTGTTTTAATCAGATGCACTTTGTATTTAGTGCTAATTAGCAAATGTTAGCATGTGAACACACTTAAGAAAGCTAAAAATCAACATGTTAGCGTTGCCATTCTGCGCATGTTATCATGCTAAAGTTATCATGTAGACTCTTAGTCTAGTTAAATGGTTTATTTAGCTCAAGAATAGGATCATTTCCTTAAACCATAGTTAACGTGTAATCCTTCCGTTTATCTGAAGGGTTCAAAATCGCCAAATTCGGAGATACATGGTTTTCACTTGACAGCGACATTAGATGCACTTTTCAACATCTTATTGGATTTGTGATACTTTGATGTTGCTCTCAGGAGCTCAAATACATGTAGCACAACTATTTGCCGAGGATTAATTTGTCATGCGTGATTCCTCACGTTACAGTATATTACACACCAAAATAAAGGATCACTTACTGCTTCTACAGTGTTGAACACTTTAAGAAGAAAGAGGCAATTTGTGCAGGAAACAAGGGAGTCGTATAAAAAACATCATGAGACTAACTGAGGCATAGGTTTTGTGTGCTGAGCCCAACAGAGATATTGGTATTGATTAACATTATCTTCTCTTATTCCCATAACTCCCCTACTGTAATATAAAGTCACAAGTCATTCTTTTAAACATGCATTGGCTCGGCACTTAAGCTTCTTTATACAATAATGCAATATTATTATTTTTATTTGCTGATTTAATTTCTATTGACCTCTCGGGCTACAGAATCTGTAGTTGCGATAATGCTTTGAATAGCTTTACACCAGTCCACACATCCTCTGTACCTGGTTACTTTGTTTATCTGCTGTGAGATGTGGCTGCAGCTACAATGCATCTATTCCGAGATAATGCAAATGATAACTTGTTCTGCTATTTTCCTGCTTTATAAAAGTCAATGGCGTGTGTGGTTGTTTGTGCAAAGAGAATTGGTGTATCCAGCATCAGAGGAGAGATTGTACATTTATCTACAGGTCTGTATGAATACATTACATGTGAAGTCAGGGAGTTCATGTCTACTCAGCTATAAGGTAGTTTCTTTACTCAAATCCTTCTTTTCTAGAATCAAAGCCATTTTTTTCATCATCTAAGATGAGCATTTTGTTGTGTATAGTTTAGAAAATAATACACAATTTGTTGGTTCATTGATTATCAGGATCTTTTGTGCAGTTCTAAAAGGTTTTTCTTGAATTTTTTTTCCAGCTTTACTTTGAAATCATTCCCAGCAGCACCACATATGATGAAACTGTTTACGAGTGAGTTAACATGGCTTCCTCCCTAATAAGCCTGAAACGGCAGAAGGAAACCAACTTGTAGACGGCACTGCAACCATCACTGCCGCCTGCAACACAACCAATTTATTCCTCTCTTTGTAGATACAGTAGCTCAGACACCCGTTTCAGTCCAGCTGTGAGGTTACCTCAGCAGGGTAATAAACAAAACAACACATAAATAAAAACACATAAATAAAGAGTTTTTTCAGACAGTCTCTGGTTATCATCCATCTGAAGGACGATTGAGTGACGGATACAGACAGGTCAGTCCTTCTCTGCCTGGAGGAGTAACGCTGTGGAGTGCGTGCTGGTGTATGTGTGTCTTCCCAGCATGCCGAGTGGCTCAGCGCTGCCGGGAGAAGAGGTTTTTCAGGGCGTTGTTGTAGTTCTTATTGAAGGCGGTGTATATTAGCGGATTAAAGAAGGAGTTGGAGTACCCCAGCCACAGGAAGATGCTCTTCCAGATGGGCGGGATGTCACAGGAGCACAGTGGGACGATGAGCTCGGTGATGAAGAAGGGGATCCAGCAAAGTACAAACACGCCGATCAAAATGCCCACCATCAGCGCCGCCTTCTTCTCCTTCTGCTCACGCCATGTGTCCCCATCTGTCTGGAAGGTCACGGTGGCGTGGCGCACAGTGAACACCATCTGCGGTTGATGTGTTTCGTCCTTTACCTGGGAAGGAAGCGATCAGAGAATAAATCAGTTACTTCATTGATCCATTTAAAAAGCTTTTACACACCTGGGGTGTTTTTTTTTTTTTTATCCGTGCGATTAACTCACACGTCAGTATATTGTTGTTTTTGTCCTGAGTACTTTCAAACCTAACGTAAATATTATGTGGAAAAAAAGAAATGTGATTTTTTTTTTTACAGAACGAGGTTGATTTTTCTGAGCTTTTGCAGCACAAATAAAGGCATCAACCAGTCACGTTATGCAGAAAAGACATATTCATAATGAAGATTGTAGTATACAGCAACATGGAACCTCCATTGTCCAGAAGCAAGACGCAAACTTTATTACTCCCTCTAACCTTGACAAAGGCCACCAGATCCACTCCTTCCGTTCTTACCTTTCACAATAAAAGCATTAGATATATACACTGCATACTGTTTACCAGAGTCCCTCAAAGCATTTAACTGAAAGGAAACTCAATAACATAGCTTACAGAAGTTTAGGCTATACAACCACTTAACACAGACAGACTGCCAGATGCTGATCCCTAGTTGGTCCTCTGCCTGCGCCAATCTATTGGAACCTTTAATTGAAAAAGTGTTGCAAATCTGCATCGCTGCAGGTATGAATAGTTTTGATATGCAATATTTCTCATTTTGGTGTTTATTCACCACGCCCCCGGTTTGTAAAGGTCTTTATAAATAGAATAGCAATATCTTCAACAATGTAGGCCCATTTTAGCTGCTCAACAAAAGATGGATTATTGGCTGAAAAGAAATGTGAGTCAACAGGTGGATCAACAAGCCAAAGCCTATTCTTTCATTACACACACACACACACACACACACACACACACACACACACACACACACACACACACAGGGCATAAATCTAGAGCAGTGTCTTAATCTGCATTTTCCAGCAGCCCATTTCACAAACATACTGCACAGCTGGGAAAAAGAAAAGGAAATGTCAACATTAATCTGCAGACTTTCTCCTCACCTGTTAGCGCAGATAAAGGCTGACTTTAACTTTATTTTTCGTTTATCAGGTGAAGCTGCGCGGGTCGTTCAGCAGCCGAACGGCCTTTATTATGACCTTCTAAATGTGTCTGAAGTGAAGCAGACCAACACTCGACACTGTTCAACATTTAAACAGGAACCTGGAGATGGAGAAACTTGTTGACTCTGGAGTAAATGTAGTTGAATCAATACGGGTCAGCGGGGCCTATAACTAATAAGATGGATAAAGCAAGTCCATCTACCGCAAGGCTAGAGGTTAAAAGCTTAGTGCTGCTGGGAAGGAGGTTTCAAATTCTGTGGATGGTTTAAAACACCTCGACATTAGATTGCGCAGTCGCTAAACTAACTGAGGATCTTCCTTTACACCGTGCATCAGTGATGAGGTTAGGATGTAGCTTCAAACTATGAAGCTGAGACTCAAACTAAATCTTGTTTTCAGTCATTAAATATATAGAGAGCTTATCCTTTTCTTTTTACAAAGCCTACTTCTGCAAGCGTCAGCAAACCAAAAGATCAACATAAATATGAAGCTAAATAGATGGTTAGCGTAGCTTAGCACACAAACTGGAAGCAGTGGCTCTGTCCAAAGCCTCTAAAGTTAATCAATTAACACGATACATTTCATTGGTTTAATCTGCACACAAGCTGAAATGTAAAAAGGACAATTTGTGGTTTCATGGGGAGTTACATGCTGGAAGTATTAGTTCTTGACTGGCTAACTTATTCCAATGAATAACTTAATTGAAATTGAGAATTTTGTCGTAAAATATGACTACAGACATTTGAATGCCTGTGAGTGCGGTGGCGGTATTCTATTGGTAATGGCGTCACTTTAAGCGTACTGGTGTTGGGTACTGGCACTGTACTTTTTAAAGCGATACCTGGCCATACCGGGTGCAGACTATGAGTTTAAGCCGCTGCATATCTCACGCGGCATTTTTCTCCCCTGCAGCTATATGTGCTTTCTATGAATGACACCGTCTCTGAATCCTGGGCTTAGTGCCGCCCAAGTCGATTGTGATTGTTTTAAAGAAATACAAACAAGCCAGAGCATTTTTTTTTTTGTACCCCTATACCAGAATGATAATGTGTGGAGCCAGGCCTTTCTTTAGCGCTGACAGCTGTGAGGATCTGGAGGTCTGGCTATTCCAGACTTCAGACTTTGTGACTGGCACTGTCTTCTCTCTGATGAGGACAGTCTCCCACCTGCAGATATGGATGGCTGTCTTTAAAAAAAATAAATAAATCTTGTCAAGAATTTCTCATTTGCTTCTTTCATATGTTAAAAGAGTACAACTGTTCAAGAACCTGTTGAAGGTCAGGTTATTCAGTTTGAGGTTTAATGAAATCTATAATGTAAATAATAGAAGTTAATGTACCAGCGCTTTAACATTAGACAGATTTCATATTTTTAGTGACATTAATCTTTTTCTGAAACTGTACATTTTATGGCTTTTGGTACTGTAGTGTTAAATGATTTGTGCGTCTAGGCCAAGAATCTGTCCACATCTTTAAACTCCATTTCTGGTGGCATGTGTACGCATGTCTTTGAGTGGGTGTTGTTCATGGATGAGTGCAGGTTTATTATCTTGCATGTGGATGCCATCGCTCACATTACCACTCCGTACAGACACTCTGCAGGGCTCGGTGCCTCGACTCTTCGATGTATGCTGGGGAATGATGACAATAAACTCTGGCTGGGTAACGAGACACGTCTAATACGACTATAAGCAGCGGGTAAATCTGTGGAAAGCAAAAGGACTAATAAAAGATATTCAATTTAATTGCTATAGCTACAAGAGTGATTGCCTGTGTAATGAAACTTGACATAAAGTTGGTCTACCAAAGCAATAAAGGACGGGGATAATTTATTCAACAATTGGTTCTCCTTGACCACGAACTCCTGATTTTGGGCCAAATGATGTCACACTTGCGTAACTAAGAGTTATCTTTTAGGACTGGGGGGGGGGGTATTTTAAAGTACGTGGATGACATAAATAAAAAGGAAAAAAAAAGGCCCCACTGTGTATTTTCTGTGGAGTTCTCAGAATGTTCAGGCATTTGATGATTTTCAAAAGAAGCCTTTTCATAGGTGAGAGAAAGAGGCGTCTGCTCTAAGATGTCTAAAAGTGGCGTAATCTCTATCTCTGAGGTGCTTTCAGGGCTTTTCAAATTGCATTACCCACCATAAGGGCAGGTGAAAAGTGGATGCCGACTCAATTTGCATGGGGTAAATTTGCCTGATTAGGTGTTTGCTAATGCTTGCGGAACAGTTCTAGACCTTTGTGTCTGCTGAATAGAGAAACGCCAATGCCAGGAAGGTGCAGTGGCCCATTAAAGAAGCTGGAGGGGGTATTTATAGCTTTCTACCTTCTGCCTACGCACATTAGCAAGCTGGTGGTGATGAGCAGGATTACTGCAATCATTTGTCCGCATGCTCATTCATCACATTCTTATGTTTCCCTGATTGCTGTTGAATAGCTCATCAGCCAGAATGATAAATAAATGTACAGCAACTTATATTTGTGGGTCTTGGGCATCAATTCCTGCTGGCTCCGAGCTCGCTTTCATAGTCTCAGCGTTCCCAGTGGCAGCTCCCCCCCCCGATGATGGATGCTGGTCCGCTCCATGTCTTCGCATCCCTGCGTCTGATGAGGGCCACTTAGGGAGCAGATTATTATTCGAGTGACTGGAGTGTGGATCTGATGTTTCATCCCATGAGCAGTTCTGCTGGGCTTAACACCAATACAAGTCTTCAATGGTGCACATAAATGCTAATAGTGGGTTAGTGGGTTTGAATACCACCAACAGATGTGGCATATACAACGTCGTACTCTATGCAAAAGTATTTCCGAGTCTAATTTGTGTATTGTAGAATGTATTTGCTATCTGGTTAGGAATGCCATCTTGAGTAATGTGGATTTTAGTGGCTTAACAACCCCGTTTTTGTTGTGGTTGCAGGCAGATGAAAGATTTCCTACTAACAGGAGTGATGTCTCCCTGGAGTGATTGCCTCTATACTTTTAGACGTTTGTCTGAGGCTATCGGTTACCACAGTTGTTCTGGCAGAGGTGTAGGTTGTGGTGGCTCTTTGAGCCGTGTATGCTTGTTTTCCTGGCAGAAGGGGCAGGTGTCCACTATGCGTTCACTATCAGCAGATATTTTAGGCCTCTAAACAGTTTCCTCTGCCCGTTCTCCGCATTTTGACAGGCCTTGGTGTCTGTCATGTATGTGCTCTCAAACTTCCTGTCTCGTTGACTGTGGAATGACATTGCAACGGCCTGGTGTGATAAGGTTTCTGAACTCATATTTATTTATTCTGTCCAACGCTCCATTGCCCTGGCTTCCCTTACTTACTGCTCCTAGGTAAAAGTTGTCCTCAGTCTGACTAGAAGGGACTTCTCTTACTGACTTGGAGAAACATTTTTCTCTCCCAATGGCTCTTTCCCCACATTTGCTACACTCTGATTCTAATGCTGGGCATTTGTCTGGGGCATTATGCTTCTTCTCTCCGCATCAGCACACTCTCCTTGGCTGGCTGTCTCCCACCTCTCCTCAATGGCCGCCAGTGTATAACCTCCTTCACGCTGAATGCTGCCTTTTGCTCCTGCTGGCTTATCTGCTGTGCGGCACCCTGTGCTTACCGTACCATCTGCCCGGCAGTTTCCCATGTAAGATGGGACATGAGGTGTAGTCGTCGAAGTTGTGAAATTCAATTATTTTTGACTTCGTAGACCTTTGCGTAAAGTGTGCTAACCTGGATCTCGACACCTTTTTTCTGGCGCACTGAACTTTGCCATAGCATCGCGTGTCTCTCACGTCTATCATCTTGTCAAGTAAACTGTTGGTCTACACAGCTTATTTGTACTCAAAGCATGTGGTGTATTTCCTCCACAACAACATCTCAACATAAGCGTTAAACCAAGTACTGTCAACCAACCTTACCGACTCACGTGCAGCTCGATCTAGCTCTCTGATTGGTTTCAAAGAGTATCTACATGTAATACCCAATACCATAACATGGGGATTTAAAGAGGGATTAATGAGGGATTTCAACAAAAGAAAAATTTATAATCACCTCAGCCATGGGTGTTATTGTGTTGGTCTTGCGGGAACCAATTCGAAACTTGGCAGCCTTGTAGATCTTCCAATAAACAAAGAGCACCACACAAAGCGGCAGGTAAAATGCTCCGAAGGTGGAGAAGATTGTGTAGGACGGCTCCTGGCTCACCTGGCACTTCATCCCCTCCGTGTAGGTCTCCCCCCAGCCGAAAAGAGGCGACAGGGAAATGATGGAGGACAGCAGCCACGTGAGTGCGATCATCACGTTGGAGATCTTTTTGCGCGTCTTGAGCGTGTACTCCAGGTGCCTGGTGATGGACCAGTAGCGGTCCAGAGCGATGGCCGTCACGTTCCAGATGCTGGCCGTGCAGCAGAGCACGTCGAAGGAGATCCACACCTGGCAGAGCACGCGGCCCAGTTTCCACAGCCTGCCGTTCAGCTCGTGGACGAGACTGAGCGGCATGACCAGGGCGGCCACCATCACGTCGGAGATGGCCATGGAAGCCACGAGGTTGTGGGGCACCCGGTGGAATGTCCTCACCCTCAGGATGGTAACCAGCACCAACAAGTTCCACACAAAGGTGGCCACCACCAGCATTGACAGTAAAGTAAGAGTGAGCACGCTGAAAACAGAAAAAGGCAGGTAGATGTTTCCCCCGGAGTCATGGCCGTCCAGAGCTCCGCTGGAGTTGGCTGTCAGTGTGCTGGTGTTGGGATAAGTCATGGTAGCTGCTCACGGCCCCGCAGCCAAGGGCCAAGGTGATTCAGAGACAGTTACTGCAGTCAGTTGAAGCATTCTGCAGTTGTTGGAGAGAAGAGGGAGAAAACCAGAGACATAGAGGTTTTCAGAGACATCTGAAAACCTTCAATAAATGTTCTATGAAATTCAACAGTATATGCTTAAAGTTAAAGATGCAATTCTCTCAAAAACAGTAGCTTTTACGGCTGGCTTTGCACTGTTGCGTAAATGCACGAGTGTACATCACTGTGTCATTCACAAGAGAGGCACTCTCTTTTGTAAAAGAGAGTGCTTGAGTTTTTTAACAGCTGCCAAGCAACCTGACTACAACTTTCAAGTGCAATTTCATCTGCTGTTAAAAAGGCTCAAAAGTACTCCCGGACATCTTGACTTCATGGAAGAGGCCATAAATATTCAATTTCATCATCCCACTGCTGTCCTTTGATTTGCATCGGAGTCAGACCTCTGTTGCAAAATTAGCAGTTTTAAGTGGAGTCTTTGTTGTAAACTCATTCGGGAATATTTCTCTTTCGTATTCCAATAGAGAGATCCCTCGTTTGAACATTGTGGAGTTTTATGTTTTTAAGTGGTTGCAGAGAGCAGCATCTATTTTCACTTTAAATAATAGAGGCCGTTGGAGAGACACTCCGAATTAACATAGGATTGTTTCCATTTCAGATTCACACAAGAAAAGATTTGACATGCCAGCTCTATCAATACATTCACAGGAGAGGCTCAGCTAGTCTCAAAGTCAACACTACACCATGTCCAACCAGCTGGATGTTGTTAAGTATGGTATTGATCTTTACAGTTTACAACTGCTATATATCGTATCATTTGATAGACCAACTTCATCAGAAGTGGCATAATTACAGAAAAACGACTATTTTATGAATTTGAATTTCGAATACAAACTTCAAATGAAAGTACACGGAACGATATATCTGATACTGGAAATCCATCGCTTTGGTTCAGAATATATTGTTATGATAACAATGACTTACAGAAGCATCATTTTCAGCAGCATCCCTGGGTGCAATAACGATTTCTGGCATCTTGTCTTGGAAAATATATTCAGATGTGCCTCATTATATCATAAGATGTTCATTTGAATAATTAATTACAATTTCTTATTTATACATCAATTTAAACTCCTCCTCCTGCTTTAACCTCTCCCTACGAACTGCTCCTGCTTCTAGTCCTCCCGGGCTTTTTAGAAATACAGATCACAGTTTCTTACCTTGACCCACTGTATTATTTACCACAGTGGAGTTTTAACCACAACCTTGAATATTACATTTTTCATGTCTTCTCCTTGGGACATTGTAATGACGGGATGTGGATGATGTGCTCAGGTTGATCCCAGGACTAAGTGTCCATAATGAGTGTAGCTAATGCATGTAATTGAAATAATTGTCCCCAATTGATTTTAATTTAAATTGCAGGACTTAATCAACAGGATCATATTCTTGTGCCTGTTTGGCCTCTAATAACATTTATCTTGACTGTATTACTGAAGCATCACTCTGATGAATAAATCAATGAAACGTTCCTTGAATTTCCAAGGACGTGTTGATTTTTCTACAAAAAAATGAACATGCAGCAGAGTTCCTCATGAAATGCATCATCACTTCCACCATGGAGGTTTTCAATGTGTTTGCCTGGTTTTTATGAAAGTTGGTGGAAATGTGAAGCATGGGCCAAAGAAGATCCACCTCACAGGGCGGATACACAAATAGTTTTTCACTTCCTCTAACATTGCGAGAAAGGGTATTTGGCCTTGGTTGAGGGGCGCTCTCTCTCTCTCTTTGAGCACATATATGTTTTTACACCCAGTGGGTTGTATCCGAGGGATCTGCTTGTTATCAGTCACTCATCAAAGGCCCGACGGGTAATGACAATATGAGCCATGTCCCTGTTAGCCGGTATATTCATGTGACATGTGACACTGTCTCGTATAGCATCACAAACCATGCCTTCTTATCAAAGGGTCCAACTAAGCACATCAATAAGCCCTCTGCTCCCTCTTCGCCCTACGTCTATTAACAAAGCCCAATAGCCATGAAATTGGACAACCGTTTTGAAGGGAACAGGCAATCAAACATGCCCGCATCCCTCCCTCAAACAGCGGCTGCCACTCACTCTGTGAAAGACAGACACACAAGGCAGAAAAACGCATGCAAATTTATATGTGCATATGTGAGAGGAGCGGGGGGTGGGGGGCGCTGGCGGGTATAAGACAGGAATCGCACTCGCTGACGTCAAAGGACAATAGCTGAATACATTTAGGTCTATACTTGGGACTGGTTTTTGAGACAGCTAGGTGGGTAAAGTGTCAATTCAGGTCAGTCACTGTCATGAGACTTGCTAGCGTCAGCTGGTTCACTGGACATATTTGCTGGAGAGCCTTGTGGGGGTTTTAGTTAACGATGAGAGATTAAACAGGGACAGAGGGTGATTAACATCTAATTACCATAAGGCCATATGCTTTTACTTTTTAATGCACGTAGGAGGAAAGAGGTGAAACTGATTGCTCTAATAGAAAATAATTGTCATGTTGATCACCGAGCTGCAGCAGAGAGATGTTTCTCGACCACATATATTTCATTATAATTAAAAAAATGAGCAAATCAATCGGTAAATAGAATCTTATCTGAGCTTCTCAAGGCTTTGCAAGAAAACCACACTGCACCCAATTGCTGTGGCAAACTTACAATAATGTGTTTTGCTTTTTTTGTGTTCATTATTCTATTATTTCTAGCCACCATAAACAAATGTGAGTGTAATTTTCTTGGTAAAAGAATAGTAATTTGATATGTTTGCCTTTTCTTTCTGTTTCTTATTCATGATTTTTGTTTTTCTTCCCTTTCTATGCAATCAGCCTGCTGATAAAAGCAATTTAAAGCATTGAAGGCTGTCAGCTGCAGATTCTGGTTCAAAACAAAACAAAAGTACTTTTGACATCTCAATTCCATTTCATCCTGTCCAAAAGCACTGTCACAACCTCGTGATTTAAAAACAGCAGGAGTGTGAATGTCATTCCCTTTGTGTGGAGCTCTTCACTGCGAAACGGTTGTACGCTCATTCGTTACACGATTCTCACCTTCTGAGGCTTCAGCGAGCTGACATTTGCAGCTGTAAGGTGTGCAGATGTGTCCTCTGACTCGGGTCCTGTTGTGTACTCACCACTTTATCTTTGCTTTAGTGGAATATGATTCCAAAACGATATATAAGATATTAATAAAGCATGCTGATCATATACTCACGGAAAGAAAACACATTCATGTGAGCATTATTTATTGAAATCTACAGTTTGTGAAAGACTTATTCTCCAGAATCATAACTTTAACGTGTAACTATTAGGGATTCCCCGTGGAGCTCACGTGTCCCATGAGGGGGACTTGTTTCTGGTTATCAACAGAGACACTTGTTACACAACATCTCAACAACACAGCCTTACTTTTTCACCTATTCTAGAAAAAAAAAGAGCTATTCCTTGTTGGATAAATAAAACTCAGCGACAACGATTCATACCATGTATACCATATATATCGTAATTACTCACCCCATTAACAGTTCGGCACAAAACAGTCGTGCACGCGAAGATCTCTGCTCGGCGTTAACCTCTCCATCGAAATGCGCTCTGCTGGCTTTGTCGGCGGAGTGACTGAGCCGCCTTGGCTCCGTGTTGAAGACGGACAGAAACACACCTCGCACTGAGGATACAGAGACGCTGGAATGAACCATACAGCGGTCGGCGTGGGGGGGACCGGGTCCAATTCAAACGGTAAACACTGCTGTTACCGGGCATGTGGGAGACTTGCGTGTGTATGTTTCTTTGGTGCGCACTTCGCGCGAGCAACAGCTGCTTTGTTGGAGGCACGCGACGCGGAGGAAGACGTTGCCTCTGTGTTGCCAGACTGCTTAACGAACATTCCCTCCTTTTTAATTAGTCCGTATTCTGCCGTCATCAGAGGTAGGTTGCTTGAGGACAGGGATCCTGCTGCTTTATGATGGATTATACTTCCACGCGACCACCCTTGTTACCCCCCATGGCATTTGCCCCATGTCCTGCAAATTAATGCGCATTTCGCAAAAGTTTACATCATATGTCACGTTGCCAGGAGCGCGAGTCTGTAAAACTTGAAATCAAGTTTCTCCCGAATAGGCTTAATTTAGGATTTACAATGAAAACTCCTTTTGTCCTGAGAAAACCTCCCAGATTGAATAATTACATGAAATTAAATCATCATAGTCTGCACTGGTTGCTTCCTGCAATAACGGAACACTGTGACTGACTGTTGAGCATTAACGATCTGTTTGAAGGTGCTTTCAGTTTGAGGCCAAAACTATCTTGCTTTTTTTAAGATTGTGAATGACTTCCACCAGCAATAGACCTGGAGCTGTACAAAGACCAAGAGTGTATACAACGGAGGCGGATCCATGACATGATTTCTATCGGACTTAATGATGTCAGGCTCTTACTGTGAACAGTGGTGGACGAAAAACAACACAAAAAAGGCACCAGAGTGCAGAAAGTTGTGGTACATATTGAAACAGTTCCAAACCCGTGTTAAGATTAAGATATATATATTAAATATTACTATTAAATACTAGCCTGTAATTTCCTAGTTGGTTCACTGGGCATATTTGTGTAGAGTATATGGCACTTCTTCCCATTTTCTCCACTGGAAGACAATCTAGAGGGCTCTGCATCACGTTTAATCCACTAGAAAGGCATCCTAGAGGCAGTGTTGCCAAATGGGAATTGTTAAATTACTGTATCACAGAGGCTTGAAATAAACGTATCTGTTCATGTTCTGTATGAAAACAATTAAGGCCATAATCTAAGTTCTACTATTATTTCACATGGATGCGGCAGTTTAGCCATCTCTCATTCAAACTCTCTTCAAATGAGTGACAAGTGGCGGGAGGGAGAACGTTAGCTGGCGAGGCTAGTGAGTCACATTCATCAACATCATGGCCTGTACGAGAGTAATTAAAATGAGACAGGCAGACTAAAATCAACTGCTAATTGTAAGCATCACAAAAATAACCATACATTATGTCACTTTTTGCATTATTGATTGTACATAGGGGAAAGTTATCGTACAAATACAATCATTATCGAACATCTGGCAACGCAGCGGGCACTGCATTACATTTTCTTTGTTTTAAGGACCCCCATTAGTGCACTGCACGTTTTCATGCACATTGGGCATTTTATCATGTTCACCATCGCAGCATCCAAGAGGACACTTTTGCAGCGTTTTCTCCCCCAGTCCACCACTGGCTGACCTTCAATGGTCCTTATACAGCAACGGTACTGAGAAATGCCCTGAAACTGATTGTTTGGTATCCCAGACCCACTATGAATCCCAAGAGCAATTGATGATAAATGAGAACCCATTTAAAAGTTGTGGTTTCAGACCATTGCCAGCGCCACGGGAGGCTTGTTCATTACCATCATAGAAAAAAAACCTATTTGTGGCAGCAAAACCTGCATTAAGTCCCATGTTAAAACTCTGAGTGTACTTAGCTTTATAGCCGCCACTGCAGTGTAAATGTCCCATTGCACACCTTCTACTTTCTTTACTCCAGCAACCTTGGAGAGTACAATGAGTGTTTATCTAATTGTCACTTGTGCCAACACTCACTTCCTCCAAATCCATGGTATTTGTTTGAAACATCTGCTGAAAGAGGACGAGCGTGCTTCGCTAACTAACCATGAAATATGCAGCTGCACACATGTATGGGCACACAAGACATTTATCACATCGCCCCCTGCTCAAGGGGAACATTTGAGTAGCTGTAGGGACCTTTCCCTGCATCCCTACCTCTCCCCCCTGCTATTCCACCTCCCACTTGACTCCCTCACGCAGGTGATGCTGATGCACAGAATCAAATCAGCTTAGCAGTAGCTTGTGCAGTCACTGCCAAACAACCTGCTTTGTGAAATTGTGTCTTGCCAATTATAGGGCTATGAAGGCATTAATGCAACCCACTTTAAGTGTCAGTGCAAAGTGCTCCTCATTGAAACAGATAACATACTTGCACTTCCAGCTGTTTAGCTGTTTAGTGATTCAAATACGCTGCAGCAGACTCAGATGAAAACACATGATGGCTTGTATCATGCACTGTAGTCGTGTTTTTGCAAAAACAAACAAAAAGGAAAAGTGTGAGCACTAATTACGCTTAACAATTACCTCTGTGTCACCCTAAACAACACAGTGTGTCCTGTTTGGAGCAGCTCACTCATACTAAATGCAAACATCACACTTCCTCTGCTCTGCACCCTTGTCTGAGGCAAAAGGGTATTTTTATTCATATTATCTCTTGGCACCTTGCTGTAAATCACATCTCTGACCTTGTCCCACCAGGCTGGTCCCATCCCCATAAATAGCCGGTCATCAATTATTCCTGTTACTACCAGAATTTGACACTGTCAGCAACTACAACTTCACACCGCGGGTCCTGGAAAATTACTTAAGAGGAAAAGTGGATGTGGTCCTGGATCGGGGACTGTGTTGGTAAACCTGCCACATAAATTCTGCAGTGTGTCTGACCTGCATAATTGTGCAATGAGTGATTGAATGTTAAGTACAGAGAGTCATGGGATTCCCTATTAGGGCACCCTCTGTTTTGCTCTATGATCACAAGGTCACATTGGGACGTGTTGTACATGCTAAAAGCTAAACTGCCCTCTTAAAACAGTTTCATGATTTATTAAATCTTACTTTCACATGTATTAATTTTACATGCCCATTGTAAAAGTATTTGCTGCAGTAGGAAAGCCCATATGTAAAATGTTTTCGTGTAATTTTTTGTCTTTTCTTTGGGATTTTATCCAAACAACAAACTCCTAGAGGTGACAGGTTATAATGTGCCACAGAAGATAAAGAGCTAAACATTTTGAACCTGAATGAATCGCAAATTCTGCCTACAAGCTTGATAATGTTGAGCTCTGCTGTCATGCGTCCCTGACAGTTAATGATATGTGGTTGCACTGTACACCACCCACGCTTAATGAGATCGTCAGTGTGTGTGTCAGTAGCTGGCGAGGCAGGAGTAGGTTTAGACAGGCAAGGTGCTAGGCTGTGATGTGCTGAGGTAAGCATGCAGCACTGGGCCTGTAGATGAAGGAAAAGAAGATTCAATAAATTGCAACGATGGAGCAGCGAAGGTCCTCAATGATGTTCCGTTGGCAGAGTACGCAGGGAGCAGACTTTCCTGCACATAAACGATGCTCACAACTTGTGCTTTATGCTCGAAAAAAAACATTTGTCAAGGTTGACTCAATGATTCTGGTACAGTGTGCACGCCAATGGCCGCAGCAAGTCTTTGGCGTGCGTGGTAATTATAGAGGCCGCAGTGTAATGGTGTTGTTCTTTTGAATTACAACCCCCTTCCCCTGCATGAATGTCTATTAATTAAGGAGAAACTTCAATTGCTTAATTTAGCATTTTCCCAGAGTGAATTGCAGCTTTATAATTGCACATGTTCTTGCTGTAATTAAATAATGTTTTCAGTGAAAGGTGTTGACAATTCTTGGATGGATTGGCGATGGCATTTGGTAAACACATTAAAATTCCCATCACTTTGGTGATCCATTAACTTTCCATAGAACCATCATCAGGTCACAAATTCAATGTGTCAGTATTTTGGTTTGTGGCCAAATACATAAACCGGCAATGACATTACATTTCCTCACTTAAGATGTTATTGACACATAACGGTCTTTTGTTCCATCTTCCCTGAAACGCCTGGCAGTTTTTTTAGGCGTTGCACATAATGTGAGGGATAGAGGTGTCCTTATTGTACAGCAATCATCTTGATAAATTGCTCTGACCCCATGTGGCGCTGTGAACTTGCCAAGACTGGAAATACTTTTGTGGCCTGTTATGTTCGAAGAATTTCAAGCAGCTGTAAAATGAGAGAACGAGGCTCTTGTTTTCTTTCCTCCAAAGAGTCTTTTCAGAGTAATATAAGAAGAATGGACAGATTGTTAGGGCAAAGCTATATGATGTGTTGCTGTCAACATCATCGTCAGAATACAATACCTTTTCTTTTCTTCCAGAGCTTATTTATTTATGACAAGCAAAATGACTGAGGGAATCTGACCCACAGATGCTTTTAGTATATTTAAAATGAATTTTCGAGGGAATAAATAGGTCTTTTAAAGATTTCTCCTTCTGGTTTCAACTGATATCTTTCAGTTTAAATGTATATTGTCAAAGGTAAGATTAAATAAGTACATGTAGCATATCAGTCAGGTAGGGATTTTCTTTCATTTTCGGGTGACCACAATGCAGATGATGTGTTCAGTCTTCACACCATTCCAAAGATGACACATTGAGTGCTATGCATTTCAAAACACAATGAGTCAGTGCATGAATTGTGAATCTTTGGTCACTTTACTCCCTAAGTGAAAGGCATTAAAGACGTCAGTCAAAACATGAATCCACTTGGATTTTATCCTCAAATTGATCCAGTTCATAATTCACACTCTCCGGGGAAATTGTAATCGTTCCTAAAGATTTTATCATCTTCATGAATGAGGCTTTTAATTCAAGTGGTTAAATGGCATTTAGTGTAAATCACTTTACAGAGCATCTCGACTTCACCATAGAATTATTCTGCATGATAATCTATTCTGCATATTTTATTTTTAACAGATATGTGTTTTCTTACTTGCCATTGAATTTAAGTATAAATCTAGCAGAGTGGAATGGATGCAGTTTCAGCCATCTTTAATTTTATATCAATTCTGATATCTTTCAACTGACTCCTGTCACTAAGTACCTTAAATAGCTACAATCTTTTGAATAATTGAAAAGAGTAGCTTACACATGAAACAAAAGCTAATTTGATGATTTTAATTTAATTATTCTTCAACAAGAATTTTTTAATTTAAATAGTTAATGAACTCTTGGAAATTGTCTAATTTCAGATGTTACGCCTCAAGTGATCCCCCGACTCATCTTTTAAGTGAATAGCCTGAGGTATTGCCCTAAAAATAAGACAATGAATAAAGCACTCAAGGTCATGTGCCAGGAAGCTCTTAGAAGAGCCATCCATCTACTGCTTCCAGGGACCGGCCAAGGTAAAACAGGCTGAGGCTTCATATTTCTTTAAAATGACATTAGCATTTTCAAGTCAAACAATGAAGAAATGTAGTTTGGAAATTACAATAACTCATCTAATATTGCTCTTCTGCAGCAAGGAGGCCCTTTTGAATTTACACCGTGAGGTTCAATCATCTCTTCGCTACATTTTTGTGTTCGGTAGCGGATAAAACGCGCAGTTTGCTGTCAGGGCATGTTGATTCCCCTCTTTTTCATGTGTCTGGGGCCTTGGCCGCTTTCCTGCAATCCTCCTCTCACCTCACTCAGTTAAAAATAAATAGTGCGGAGAAGCAATAGAGCCTGCTGGCCCCTGACAACACACACACACACACACACACACACATCCCAACTCTATGATTCACATGTCATCTCAGACACCAGCCAGTGTGCCGGGAGCACTTGGGTAACAGTATGAAGGGCCTTTTAGTCTGTAATTTGCTGCAATCAGAGACCCTGGACCTTTGGGGTGCGATGAGTCAGATACTTCAAATTGATCCCCTGCCAGACACCAAACAATGAGGATCTTACTGTCCTTCCCTGTTGGTAGGCTTAATATGAAGTCAGAGACGACACATCTAATTTAGGAAGGTGTCTTCTTCCAACCTGATCTCATGGAGAGGCGTATAAGTAGCACAACATCGCAAGGACCCTCCGTCGATCAAACGCATGTCATTTTGCGCCACCTTGTTTCTGTTTAACGGCTGCAGTTAGGTTTAGGCAACTAAATCACTTAGGTTTCGGGAAAATATCATGGTTGGGCTTAAAATAAATGTAAACTAAGTAAAATGTAAATAACATTAAGTATGGATTAATTGTGCAGCCCTTCTTTCTCAATCTAAGTTGTAGGCTGGAGCTGAGGTTTTGATCCTGGAAATGACTAGCTGTCTATAGTTTCATCACCCCAGTCCTTCCTTTTATTGTTATCCTCATTTGATCCAACATAACGTAGAATTTTAAATTAAACACCAAGCCACACTGACGCAGCTTGCAGCACTATTTCAAAATAACATCTGCTTATACAAAGTGCTATTTACCATATTCTATAGCTCACAAACAGATTCCACTTCCCTCCAGCTGTAAGCTGTAGTATACTGTATATTCCCCCTGACATTAAAATGTTCATTTTTGAACATTGAGCATTTATTGGAAATGCATTTTACTCATAGTTGGAATAACAAATTCAGTCATCATGATTTATTAGATAATGTATAAAGCGGATATGGTGAACTTGTCAGCAAACAGTTGCACATCTAGCACACACGGAGCAACCTTAGTTCATTTGGAGTCATGTTTCTACCCACATTGGGAATGTAAGTCTAATATTCACTGCCTTTTCAGCTCAGCTTTGGTCTCCACGCTGGGGAGGTATCCCACAACTGCTGCTGACTCTGTTGTTAAACTGCTACAAACACATGTTGCTGTTGCTTCTTACAGTTGTACTGATAATGTAACAGTCCAATCATGTTGCTTCAGGAGGGCTTTGTAAAGAAAAGTCATGTGTGGTGCGCCGCTTGTTGCCTTAAGGGCGCACTTCAAGCCGGATGTTTTCTTGTCTCTGCTGTACCAGTTTGGTACAGCAGAGAGCCTTTCCTGTCCCCAGCACATTACACACATAAATATGCATGAATGGTATCTGAATAATACATTTCATCATCAAGCAAAGTGTCCTGCCCTTTGTCCTGATTACATTTTGAAGATACATCATGTAAAACCTGAATAGAAACTGAAAAAATAGGATTTCAGCTTTTCCCCACTCTCTAACAACACTACACTTCACCGTGAAATTGAATGATTAATACATTTCCAAAATCTCTCTTTTTTGTATTATTGTGTGACTCTATTTCAAATTTAGACATTAGATACAATTTGTCATCGGACATTTTTAATATGTTAGTTAAAATACACATTTTAATCATGTCCCCAGGTTTTCTCTCAGTCTGATAACACTGTCATATCTGTAGGCTAAATATGAAGCTAAAGCCAGCAGATAGTTAGCTTAGCATAACACAGAGACTGGAAACAGGAGGACACAGGTAGCTTAGCTCCACCAGAAACTAAATAAATCTGCCAACTAGCACCTCTTAAGCTCACTAATTGTCACTTTATATCTTGTTCGTTTAACCGTGTAAAAATGTCCGACTGCGATTTAATGGGAGGTTGCTGGACTATTTCTTGGCTTGGCATCACCGTGCAGTTGCCAGGACTGTATATTATAACTTTGGTCATAGACATGGTTCTTTACTTGGTACCAGACAAGTATGATAACAGATTACAGAAGCCGTTAAAATTATCTTTCCTATTGGCATTCAACATCATGGCAGGTTCCACGTCATCAACAATTTTGAAGTCTGTTAGTTTGTTATAAAAGGTCACACGCAAACACTTCTTTGTGTTGTCCTTGAAGAGTCCTTGTATTTTGACATAATTTAAATATTATAGAATCAAGTAGGAAACTGGGCTGCACTCTCAAAATTCTCCACTTATGTTATTTTATTTTGCAGCATTTCAAGAACAAGCCATCTTCAGTGCTTTGTCTGCAGGCACTTTTGTTATGCATCTTGTTGACATGCTGCTCAGAAACCTTTGGTTTGTTCTTTTTCCAATCTTACATTTCAGAGTCAGAATGACTTTTGTTCACCATCAACAATGGAAGTAAAAAGAAACGGGCTTCGTTGATTTGTGTTGACACGTTATGCGACAGTTATACAATACACAATTGACAAACGTAGGGAAGACTGACTGAACCAGGTCAAATGAACATAAACAAGTGTAGTTCAAGAATTATCCAGTGATGTAAGTTACTACAGATATAATAAGCAGTTAATGCAGAAATCACAAATGTGGAAAACATCTGACAGTTTTGATTAATGTCAGCTATTCAGCTCTAAATATGTGACACTGAATTATATCTTTTTAAAGTAATTTACAGGCCACTAAAGCATTGTGTTCTCTATAATTATTACTCCCTTAATCACAACTGTTAATTAAAGGCTATATCTTTTGATTAACATCAAGTTCCTTTTTGGTTTGTGTCCTAGAAGACTATATCAATGCTCAGTTTAAAAAAAAAATCATCAATTTGAAGTAATAATTATTCCTACAGATTTCACTCTTTGGTGTCTGTTGTCCTCACATCTGGACTGAGTGGGTTTGTCTTAAATATGGAGCAGTAGGAGTCAGGGATTAACAGCTAATTAGTGTAGCTGTGTCATGGGATTAATTAATTCAAAGCATTTACATATCTTCTAATTGTCTTACCACGGTTTGCCACGGTTGTGCCACAGTTGTAATAATGCGGATTGTTGCAGTTTGTTTGCTTCCAGCGAAAGCCAATATGTCAACCTTGTGCATGTTGTTGTTGCCCTATCAGCTTTTTTGAAATGCATACACCCGGTAAACACCGACTGAACACCAATAGCCTAGCAGTCATTCAAAACGCATTCATGGCAGTCTTGGTTTAGGTCCAAGGCAGACTGTAATTATTGTAATGAAAGTTGTCAAGACACCTGAAACCACAATACTCCTGAGAAATTAGCCAATTTATTACCTAAATTATACATAACAGATATAACAACTGTTGGATTATATATGACCAAAGCCGTACATTTCTTAACGAGTCATAAAACACAATTTTTAATGATGATTGAAATCTCTTTTTATGCTTTGTGTACTGTATATATTTTGTTGTTAATAAACACATTTACAGACTATAGTTCAAGAATTAAACTCTCTTGAGTGAGTGGATTAAGTTACTTTGTCATTATTATTGACAAAAAAGTTCTATAAAGCAAAGATAGTTAGAATTTTTATAATTTCTGGTGGCAGTTCAGATTTTCAAAGTATTTTGAAAATGGAAATTATTACAATTTCCCTTATCATGCAGATTGGGATTCTTGGAAGACATTTTTATATTATTTCCTCTGAAAATGTGATGACATAAAGGCCAGTGTTAAGCTGTATTTCTGATTATATCATTCAAATGCAATGAAAGTGGGGTCATAAGGTCATGTTTATGCATTTAGTCACTACGTTTAAACCTACTTGTATTGATAACTTCCACCAACTCACTGCTTGTTGATTTAAAAAAGGCTTAAGACCACTCACAAAAATGTCAGAGATAATTGATGCTCATATGCGTTGCAGAGCATGCTTCAATATTTTAATTTAGCTGTACCCAGCAGAGGGAGGGGGCTTAAGCAGGGAGGATAACTTGGCACAAGGTAGGACTTCTTTTTCTCAAACCAATCTATTTTCTCTGCATAATTATATGAATTAAATTAATTGATGTACATTTGCATATCTAGGTTATTTCTCTTCTGGAGAAAAGGGTCTTTGGAGAGTATAGAAACAATTAAAAGCTTGCCAGACGGTAAAACACCTCTGTTTCCTCCTTCACGTCTGCCTTTCCCCCACAGTCTTTTACTCCAGGGAGGATTTGGCCCCAGTACTCTGGAGGAAAAATGTGATAACACCACAGTGCAGGACTCACATCCATGAAGCAATTTAATGGACTTGGCAGCCACTCTTAACACACACTATCACCGGACATCTTTAAATTACTTTGAACAGTTGTTGGTATTTATAAAAATGGAACTATTTGTCAGGGAGGGAATAGTTGAAATTGAGTTCTAAAGGAAAATTCAGACCTGATCTGATACTGGGTGGTAAATGTTATGGGAGGACTGTAATCTTCTGCTCTTGCCTAACAATGTTTCACTGCTACATTGTAATAGCCAACGTGGTATAAAGCCGTAGCTATATTTAATCAACTAAGCTGATGCATTATGTTGTTAGGAGATACTACTAGACTGTCTGACTCAACTGAAAGTGGCTTTCTGCTGGAAGCTCAGAAAATATCTGAGTAAACTTTGAATAACAGTTATTATATTTCACCACAGAGGGCCAATGTAGCTGTTTGACTGTAATAACTTGAGTGTGAGTGCACGCTCCAAATTCATCCCTCTCCTATTTATTTCAGTTATGCTTTCCAAAGCATTAACAATTCTTTTTCCTGATTGATCGGTTATTAAGCCCTTGTTCAATGAATTGCCAAAAAATGGCAAAAAAAGTCCCCTTCATAATTGCCCAGAGCCCAAAATCTTACGATGTCTTGTTTTGCCGATCAAATGGTCCAAACCCCCAAAATATTCAGTTTACCATCTCAAAAGATCGAGGAAAATATTCCCATATGAGAAGACTTTTGTTTGTCCATTCTGGGTTACTGTAGAAACATAGTTTCAACATGGCAGCCTCCGTGAAGAGGATGTGTAGATATGAAGGGCCCATTCTAAGTTAACATAAACACAATGATTCTTAGTTCCAGGTGATTATCGTGGCTATAAATCCCCATATATCCTACACACTGAGAATTTAACTGATTCATCAATTATCAAATTCATAGAAGACAAAGAAGACCAGAACATATTTAAATTTAAAACCAATCAACCTATCATTTGGAAAAGATGTTTAAATCAAACTTGAATGAAAAATCCTCCATATTGAGCTGCAGGCAGCTCTGTAATTCCTACTGTACTGCAGCTGAGTGTGATATTGCATCAAAATCAATGTTTCTGGAAGCGGAATTACTTACTCAAACATGTACACAAAACTAAATTACAGTGATCTGATTCCGAATTACTGATTTACCACTTCTGTGTGCTCCAACGCGGTGTCTTTCTGCGGCGACCCTGGAAGCACATCAGTTCTGCATTATGAAGCCCATTGAAGATAATAACATTCTGCAGAATTTCCCCCAAATGGGGGGGGGGGGGGGGGGCGTCAAATACATAGCCAGTGTGAGTTTATGGTCCGGGTCACAGACATCCACCCACAACATGATTCGCTTTTGTAATCTAATGTCTGTCCGTAAACACCATAATAACACTTCACAAAAAGCAAGATTATGGTTAGTTTGTTGTAAATGAATCTATGGTTCTCAACATCATATCCTGTGTCTGCATCTTACTATAATAGTTTGAAATAAGGGGGGGACCATGTTGCATTACATTTCTTTATTTGTCCCAGTGAAAACAAACTGGGCTGTGCGGTCAGCATGTCCATCCATAGAGGCATTCATTGTGTCCCTGTTGTCTCCCCCCCCCCCCCATGCTTTCATCTGATGTTGGGTTCTATTCTGCTCAGCATCCTCTTCAAAGGTTGTGCTCTCAGCCATCGGACATGTTTGATATTCCGTTCTTTGTTTGTTCACCAATCTAGAAAATGGCATCGTCATGGGTTTTAAAAAACAAACAAAACAAGCAATCATGTTTTCAATTTACACTAAGTGCTGAAGTGTGCATTCATTTGTTTTATTTATTTATTTGATCAAAGACTGAAATCAAATTTGGCCTAAAAAAAAAAAAAAAAGACTATGAACCACACTGGATAATATCCTTTTAATTAGTTTTGAATGTTTTGGATTTGTTTTGAATTGATGAAATTTGGTTTTGAATCACATGCTCAACGTGTAGACTGTCTCTCTACAAGCTTGAACCACTGTGCCATCTTCTGGTGCAACAGAGCGATGTTTGTCATGTCATATTCTCAATGTGAAGCTAATATATGCTGCCCCCTGCTGGTGATTAATGTAAAGTGTACGCCTGCTTGACGTGAGTTGATTCATTTGATTGTTTTTCTTTTACCACGTGAACTCAGATTTTGCAGAGGTCGTTCTTGGCGTTGTCTGTTCTGAGGTCAGTGTGCCACACTGTCTCGCAGTCCTTGAATGCCACATAGGGCTCCGTGTCACCAGGTTTGCTTGACTTATCCTTGTGCAAACATACAGAGATTAAGTGGATCAAGCTCATGATGGTCATCAGGAGCATAAGGAAACCTGAAGATAAGAGAGGACAGAGTAAACCACACAAAAAAACAAAAACACATTTGATTGTTAAATGTGCATCTGCACCCTAAAGTGGCATCGTCTTACCACAATAGGCCGTGTTTGGGGCGAGGTCATGGAAACGATAGCTTCTGGTGAACATTGCACCCAGGCCCAAGATGAGAATGGCGTAAACGCTGAATGTGTAGCGCATGTACTTGGCTAACGGGCAGCTCTGTAGGATGAACCTGCAATATTTTCAGTCATTTTGATAATTTTGCTTTACAAACAAAAGGCTAAATCAGATATTAGGCATGCCATTAAATCTCCAGTTCTTCTGCCCTTACCATATTATAGCACACAAGGAGACTATGGTGAGGACTATGGTGCTCATCAGTGGGTCCGGCACACAGGCTTTGTACTTGAGCACGATGCCAAGACCCACCACAGCGTTCAAGAGAGACCACCAGGCAAACACTGCCAAACCATTCTGGGTCTGCCTCAAATGATAATACAGATGCATTTGTGTAGAAATACCAAATATGAAAAAACAACTAATGACGATAAAATCTTAAAGTATTCAAATACAATTTGGCAGGAATTTAACATGGTTTCCATTTTGGACAATGTCTTTTTAGTAAATGAGTGTCCTCACCAGGTAACATGTCCACGAGATCACACGAGGGTTGTTAATGGCTAACCAGGCCTTGTGCTTGTTGAGGTTAGAGTAGGACATGTAGAGCATGTAGAAGCTGAGGACTGGGAGGATCCACCCAAGTATGACGGCCTCAAGTATATCGCTGTAGAAAGCAACAGCAGCTTTTATTGCTTGTGCGCACACACATTTTTTTGTTGCTGTAGTTGTGTGAGCTTCATTACAAGAGAATTGGCTCTACTTACTGTCTGTCCCATAGAGACATTCTGCACATCCTTGCAATGTTGATAATGGTCCACATCAGATAAAATACTGGGGGGTGGATATCCGGACCAAGGACGTTTCTACACATCAAAAAGATCAAAAAGTGTTTGCTGCCTTGACAATTCTTGGACCTGTAGTATGAAACTGCACAGGTGTCTTCAAATAAAACAGGACTGAAATCTTGTGTCAAGACACCGCTCATGCTACCTTTTGAAAAGGTTGACCACTGCGTACAAGAGCCACGCCTTAGACCACAAGTCAATGATAACCCAGTAACTGTCAGACCACCAGTCCATCGTCACCTCCAGGGGGAAGGTCTCAGTCACATTCCTGGATGAGGTCTGAAACAGAGCTGAAGGCCAAGACAGAAATAAACAATCACTGATTCTTGGTGAAGATACAAGAGAACTTCCCATACAGGGACATATTGTAGCTATAGGGCATGAATATGGTAATAAATCAGTGCGTTGATTTGTTCACCTCTCGTAAAAGCACTGTAAAACAAAACACATCATATTTTATGTTATAGACTAGATCAGCCGAGATAGTGAAGTGTGTGTGTGTGTGTGTGTATGTGTGTGTGTGTGTGTGTGTGTGTGTGTGTGCGCCTGTGTGTTTACATGTCCTAGTTAGTTTCATTGGCCTCCATCCAGGTCAATAGCTTTCAGGGCAAAGGTCCTTCAATAAGAAGTGTTCATCCATGAAAACTTGGCATTTCATGATTACATTAAATATTCTCGACTAAATAAACCTCTTTAGGTATTATTTATCACAAATGCATCAACATTGTGAGTGATGAGCTGAAGTATGTGGCATTATCATCTATGCACACACACAGACTTTACACCATTGAGAAGGGCTCAGAGAAAACAAAATACTAAAATATCTTCGCAATATTTTTGGCTTCCTATTTAGAAAACAGACACACAATAACATATCGCTTTGAAAACAACAATTCTCACATTTTCCAGCTCTGAATTTGAACTTCTGCTACGATTACGTGATTGAAATATTCAGTAGATGTGGAGTCACTCACCGTTGGGCACGTTGCCGTCCTCTGCCAGGTTGCAGAAGATGTCTGAGATCACCTGAGCAATGACAGCCAGGACGACGCTCCCAGCATGTATCACTTCATGTTTACCGTTTTTCACGGAGAGGCGAGATATCTGGAACCGCACCATGATGTTTGACTACAGCTCAGACAGCTGTGAGGCACAATATTCTCTCTGAGTTTTCCCAATCTAATATATTGGACTTTGGATGGCTGTTAAATTTTATGGTACCTCTTTGATTACACTTGATTACACTTGATTACTTGATTCGTGTGTTTGTGTGTGTGCAGAATAAAGGTACTGGCCCTATTTCTTACTTTATGTCCAAAAGGTAGGTGCTGACATTAGAACAATTGATACATTTGTGCATATTATTGTTTTCATTCGCTAACAGGCCTTCTTAACACAGGAATATGTTTGTGCTCTAAAGAATATTGACTCGTCAAGAAATTATCCAAAAAAAATCTGATAACAGATTTAATAAATGTATTAAGCAAAGATGCCAGCTTGTCAAGTGGTTTAAGAAGCTGGTGCATTTCTGTGTTTTATACATTATGATTGTAAACTCAATACTTTCGTTTTGTAAGTATAGTTTGAAGATGTGACCTTGTGCTCTGAGAAACTGTGATGGACATTTGTCACGTTTTTTTGCACATTTTGTTTAATTGGTTCTGAAGAATCATTGTTGGTTTCAGCCTTGAATATGTTGTTTCTTTCTGGAGGGAGTTATTTCGCAGCCAAAGGTCCAATTATCTAAATGTGTACTTTTTTGATAATTTAGATTTTACATTTCTTTAATTCTTTACTATTGTCGGTGCTTTTGTAATTTTGTATTCCAGCATTGGTTTTTGTAGTCTTATAGCCTACGTGTTGGAATCTTTTGATGACATGTCTTGAGAAAGTAAACTTAGTGATAAGTGTGTGTGTGTGTGTGTGTGTGCAGGAATTAACTTTTTCTTTGCCATTATTTAGCTTTACAATTATTTTCTTTTGATATCCTTGTGCCTCAAAACATGTATTCTACTTCATGACTCTTTCTTAATATTCGCATCAACCCATCATTTGTTCAGTGTATGATTTAAAAAATCCTTAAAAAAACATTCTTGACTTCCATTTATCTTCCATTTCGTCGTTTATTTGTTAAAGAAGCTCTTTCTTTTATGGGATGTGCGTAATGTTCAAGTGTTTTGGTTTTCATATTTTTGCAATATTAACACAGGCCGTTTGTATTTATTGTTACATTAGTTCACTCTTAGCTCATATTCATAAAAAGAGTTTACTTTGTGTCAAGGCTATTTCCACTGGTGACATACTGGGTCTACTGTCACTGTAAAGCGGCCGTTTGTGACACTTCCATGTGACCAGGGCAATGCGTGCCACGAAGATGATGCAGGAAATAGCCAAGATAAAAGCTGAAGAGGGAAAAGGAGATTAAATATCTGTATGAATCAATAAACAGTGTACAGAGAATAGCAGAAAAAAAAGTATATTGGAAAATGTGTGTGGTGTTAATACCCCTCAGTTCCAATGTCAAACAATACCTGCAAAGATGTAAGTCGGACTTTCAGGAGAGCCAGAATTGCTCAGGGTGCCGGTCAACCACAGGATTACAACAGGGTAGATGGTCACAATGTAACGCACATGCTCGTCAAGGTAGAAGTTCTCTAACAGAAACCTGGGAACAAACGGAGACGCAGACAAAAGATTAAGGTCCCTTTGCTCAGTGTAGCGTCTCTCAGGGGAAGAAAGGAAACGGAGACGGCTAAATGACAGAACGCAGCAGGGAGTGAGACTCACCAGGCCAACAGCTCCATCAGAAGCAGCAGCAGCGACAGCATTGCACAGTCACATCTTAATATGTCTGTCTTATGCTGCAAGTATATCGTCAGGTTCAGCAGAGTGTAAAGAGTCCCCCATGTTGCATATACTGCGACTCCATTTTGCACCTGATTCAACACAGTAAAAGAAGACTTTATGAAGCATGTAAAGCTATGACCAGATTCCATGGCAGCAGGCAATATTCTAATCCTGAAGTATTTGGCAGATTTTCTTGCAGCTTTAAACCTTGTTTACTGTACTGGATGCTGGTCAGTCGTGGTGGCTTTTTCTACCTCTTCTTTAATGTTAAGTGCAAGGCAAGGAGGGACTGGAAACCAATCTCGAGGTTTCTGCTACAGCCTGACTTGGCTGCTTCTCACCTCCTAATCTCAGGCCACAGTCGCCTTGTGCACAGGCTTTGCACAGCCAGTCGGACCGGGCATTTTGGAGAGAATTCGCTCTTTAGATATGGGTGATGGAGCCGTGACTGACTTCTTTAACCTTTTATAGTGTGTCAGCAGTTTGTAGTGGGATTTAACAAATGGAATGCCAGCAACTGAGTGATAAGATAACTTTAAAGGTAAAGTTTGACATTAAAAAAATAAATAAAAAGCTTTTTTTGCAGAGAATTAGATGAGAGAATCGTTACCACTTTCATGTCTGTACAGTACCAAGCTACAGCCAGCTTGTATAAGCATAAAGAGTTTTTAAAATATCTTATTTAGTTTAAGAAGTAAGGGACTTTTCTCAAGGCCATAAATTAATACGTAATCCTTCGGTTGAACAAAAAAAATCTAAATCACCAAATTTAGAGATACAAGGTTTTCAGTGGACAGGGACAGCATATGGCTGGTAAAGTTTACAATTACAACTTTCTAAGAAGTTTTTTTTTTTTCTATTTATTTATTTTTCAGGGACAATGCACACTAATCAACAGTTACACTGTAACTGAGCCAGAGTTAGCCAGAGAGGCTAATTTCCATCTGCTGTCCCTGGCCAGATGTTTCAAGGCAGCCTAAAATAACAAAACCTCAAATTGAAACGGAGTTAAAATTCATAAATAAACAGACAGCAACGTATAGACAAAACCGAAACACAGCAAAAGAAAAGTGTACGACATTAAAGCAGAGCAGACACAACAGGTTTCAGCATGCGTCACGCAGAACAGACCCACCTACAGGACAAGCACATATAACACTGAAGCACTTAACATACACATCAAAAAAATGGAATATAGCAACACTGATCAAGACAAATGCACATATAGATGAAACAAGCAGGCAGGACAGACAGTACATCAATGCTTGCACACCTGATTGGCAACAAGCCATTTCTTTAAGTTATGCTTGAATGTTTGGTACGTGTTTTGTGTGCGTATGTGTGGTGGCACAGCATTCCACGAGTTGCTCTTAAGGTTACATCTCCAATTACAGTAAAGATTAAAATGTACCCGGATGCAGGCCACTACCAAAACATGTACTCTGTAGTTGTAACCTACAAAGAATGTCTTCTTAATCACTCCAAAGGGCACCTTTATTTGCCGGATGTGTGAATTTATAAGCTTTTATAAGCGTTGTAGTTACTGTGCCCATAAACCAAAGACTTCCTTCCTTTTAAACTTGTTATTCCCTTTGAAGCCAAGTTCGAGATGTAAAAAAAATCATTTATTTCAAAGTCCATACACAGAAAAAAGGCCTTTGATATAATTTTACCAATATTCTGATGAGCCAGAGGTCTACGTTGTGATATTTGTTCAACCAGGCTCCATAGACCTTCAGTCCACGACAGGAAAAATATAGGATCACGTAATCGCTGAGCATCATTAGTGTGGAGATTATCAGCGCCGGCAGCAACAACCTATACACAAAAAATAAAATACAAATAATAGAGCTGTTAATCATGTTTTTAGAAATAGAGGATCATATTTGGGTGGCCAACCTGAACTCGCACACTTACTCTCTGTCAAACAGAAACAACCATGTAATGTTCAAGCAAATATTGATGATGATAGAAACATGAAATCCATAGGGTAGCACTGCAGGCGTGGTGTACATCCAGTCGTAAGCACTCCTGCGGAGAGAAAGGATAATGTTGTCTTATTCGTGGGAGAAAACACACCACAGCAAACAAATTGTGCACCTGGGGAAATAATCAGACTCTTTCATATGAAGCCGGAGCAATCTGCAACGTTGAAGAGCAAACGACTGCACAGAGGAAGAGTAAATTAGCTCTGGACTAGCTGGAGTGATTTACTGCATGCAAATAAATCACAGGATCATCATACAACAGGATTAAAGTATTAAGAAACAGGCACAGTTATGCGGTATGATGCAGCTATTAAGCATTATTGTCTTTTTGTAAATTATGCATGAAAATATGACAAATGGTGTTACCTTCTACAGAGTCCCACTAAAAAGTATAGAAACATGGCAAGAATCCAGAGATATATGAAATCCCCGATAAATAGAGCCCACTGAGCAGGAGTGATGGGGGTTGTATACTTGAGTGTCACATCTTCTGTGCGCTGCTTGAAAACACCTGTAATGAGATGAGCGTAGTTTATTACTTATGCCTTTACAAAACCTTCAGCTGAATTGATTTATATGACAAATATTCACCTGATTTAGCACCAAATCCTGATAGAGAGTTGAGCGTGATTGAGACTAAAAAGGCGAACAATCCAACAAACATGAGCACAACGCGGGCTGGGCTGTGGCTCACCATGGTGATGGTCTGAGGGTAAAAGTCCACAAAGGATTTAACTGCCACTTTCGACCGAACCCCCCCCCCCCCCCCCAACAAAAGCACAGTATTAATATTCTCGATATATAAATATCTGAATCCACAACCCAAATCCACTTACGTACTGTCTTTATAGAACTTCCACAGCTATTGTAGTCCAGCATCCACAGGTGTTATGAAATAGGGAATGACAGTACATGCCATAATTGGCACGATATACTCTCTATCTATGTCATCACGTTTTATTGCCCTGCACTGATCATCCGTTATCTGTCCCTGTCATAAACAATCTGCTGTTTAGAGAAGGGTAAAGATTAAAGACCAAGACATCTATTGAAATGTGGGAGAGTTTTAGAACAAAACAAAAAGTTTTCTAAATCACCAGGATGGCCTTGATGGTCCAGCTAAGCCTGAAATATAGATGCACTTGGATGTAGCAATCTTTTGAGTGATGAATTAAAAGAATGATAAGGTGTTAGGATGGCAAGAGTTCATATTATCGACCAGGCTACAACTCCCTAAAAAAATCTTAAATCTCTCTTGCTGATTTAAGATGATCATTGTTTAACGAATACAGCATCAAATTAAATCAAGTATAATAAAGTTACGGCACTAGCAGACCTGGAAATCACTTAAATTATGGTATTGAAAGTATCTTGAAGCTCTTAATGGTCTATTATTTCTCTTATATGTTTGCATGAGAAGGCTGAGGTGAATGTGTTGGAGTGAAACCTTGTTGATTGTGTGTGTATCTAATAGATTTGCTGTTACATAAAGTCACTGCAGGTCTTGTGTGTGCAGCTTTCTTCCACACAGTGGCACCATTGCATGATAGTGTGGCAGTGGGGTCTTGTGACAGTGTTTGATATCAACTTAATTAACATTTAAATTAATTCAACTTTTACTTTTGGCTACTAAGTATATAAGAATAGTATAAAGACTTTTACTTGTATCTCTACACTGGTTTTGCAACTTTTACTCAAGTAAAGAGGACTTCACCGCCTCCTACTAGTATAACTTTGATGCACAATTTCATGCATTTAAACTAGATTGTAATCAGTTTGGTCAGTCAGTCTTTCCCACCTCCAGTAGGACATATAAACAGGTATTTTGTGTCCGTTTGTTGCAATTATATTATCCAATTATACTGCTTCTGAGGATTGGCTTAGTGGGCAGGCAAGCTGTGACACAGCAGCACAGCTGAAGCTCAACCTTTGTAAAGGGAGCACTCGACCCAGCAAACCTCTCCTGCTGGTTCCCTCAGCCGGCACCAGATGTTGCCTTGTGGTGTGGTGTATTTAACGCTCGGCAATAATTAATGCAGAGCTCCTTAGGAGGGCTTAGAGGTTTTATGGAGCCCTGCACACAAATGTGCAGTCACATACACAGGTATGCACTCACTTGCACACTCAAAAAGCACGAACACACACACATTGTACAGTAGAGTTGAGTCATAACTCCTGACACATAACAGCTCTGAATTGATGCTTTTGAACAGCAGTTATTCGTGAGCAGCAGGTCAACAAGCTCTTCCCAGTGTATGAGACTAAATTTACCAAAAGAACACTTCACACTGCTGTTGACTTTACAGAAACGCACAGAACAGAGTTTGGCTTCATTTCTGATCTGTTGTAATCCCACATTGTGTCTGGATGACTCTCTCAAGTTTACCGACTGCTGTGACCCGCACTGCTGGCAGAGGACAAGGCCCAATTTGTCGGCTGCTCATCATCTAATAACTGAAATCATATCCAATTACACGCCCGCCATCTTTGATCACTTACATTATGAGAGATATGTGCATGATGGGTATTATAAAGGATCACTGTCACTTTGGTAGCAAATTATGATTCACTTTATGACTCATGTAGGTCTCGGCGACAGTGAATTCTCAGAGGCTTTCTGCATCGCACGGCGATTACGTTCAAACTTTAAAATGTCGAAATATTGTCAAAATAAGAAAAGCAATTACTATGAACTGACAGGCATCCGGATAAACAGAAAACAGTTTGTGGCTTGAAATCTTGATCTGAAGAAGAAAGAAACGATAATTTGAAAAGTAGTATTTCAAATAGTTATGCATGACAGCGGCTTCCTTGGCATCGTTTCTGTGCAGACTAGATTGGACAATTGGGAGATTCCTGCATGAACCGTTTGTTAATTAGGGTGCCATGACTAACACGCTCTGTATATTTGGAGTGTTTATCTCCTCGCAGCCCGAGCTAAGTGACTTTCACACTGTATTTGTGGACGACATTTGTGGATCCCTCTAGAACCAGCTTTAATGTCACAATTAGACTGCCGTGACCAATAGTGCCAGCGAGATTACAAATGAGGATGGTGAAGGACGACAAAGGTGAGTGGATGAGGTGAGTTCGCCTCTGAATGACATCAAGACTTACTCCGAGTCCCAGAGCCATAATTTAGACAAGGAAAGTGTTATGTCTGAAGAGTACCAGATTTTCATTTCTCTGGATAAAAGACTTTTTAAGCTCGAAAAATGTTCGTGCTCAGGCATTAGTGAATAAAAATAGCAAGTAACAACACAACAACGGGGTTTGTTAAAAAAATAAGAATAAATCATCGCCTTTGACCAACAGCAGACACCATATTTTCAGCTTTGATAGAAGTTTCAACAGGGATGATATCCAATCTTACTCCTTTCTGTCCCCACCTCTTTGACTCGTCACAACAGATAAATCTCCACATATGAAACCACTTTGGTCTGTAAGCTGTCAAAATAACATTTTCATTCCTCCACACGACCCTGGTCACCACTGCTGTCTTCTGCTGTGCTGTGTTATCGCTGAACATCAAGTTTGGACACAACACAGGATTTTTTTTCTTCCTCTTAGAATTTAGGATGTGTACAGACTGCACAACCTCAATGCCACTACTTTTCTGTCACTCAAACCCCGGGCGCTGTTAGTGGAGTGTGAAGCCTGGAGGTGGGGGATCACAGGACCCTTCAGACAAGCCAGGTGATGTTGGACTAAATCTGATTTTGGGGGATTTGGAGGCCCAAAGTCAACTTGTCAACTAGACCTAGAATTGCACTCCTGCTAAAATGTGCTGCTGTAATAAAATAACAGATGCTCTTTGACATATGTGCTAATATGAGACATGAAAATACTCTTATTGCGGTTTTGGTTATGGTTCTTATGCAATCAGTGCCATATGTTAAATGAAGACTGGTTATTGATAACTGCTTTTAAATCATACAGTAGTTAGAGTTTAGGTACAGTGTGTGGAAATATAAGAAGCACTTTCCAGTAAAAGTATAAAATTAAAGGAAAAACACAGTAAATGCAGATTCTTCCATTTGGAGTATAAGGGATCAGTTAATAAATCGTTGTGTGTGAATTTGACACAGTGACTGATCTACATAGGGGAAATAGTAAAGACGTGTGCAATGCTAACGTTTACTTTTAGTTTTGCATTGGACACAAACAGTGGTCTCCTGGACCAAAGTCCTGTGTTTGTTTGATCCATCCACCTACCCTCACACACACGATATTCCTGTGTGGAATATCGTGTGTGTTGACAACGCTCTCCATCATCAAAACACCAAATTAGGGAATATCTTTCAGAGGAATGGTGTTCAACCCTCAATTTTCAGAGGCTTGAATCTCTGCCAAGGAGCATTGAAGCCGTTCTGGCACTTTATGTTGGCTTTTCCTTTAATTTGTCACCCTTCTGTTTGTGTGCAGTCACATGCACTTTTGTTCACACGCACAACGATATCCCAGCTGATTTTTAGAATTCCATTCCTGTCACCCAGTTCCACTCTTTGCTCTCACATGTTGTCAATCTGAAACTCACACGGCATCATCCATCATGTTCAGCTTGGTATGGGGAGCACAAACTGTATAAATGTCTGATGTCAAGAGAAATATACGACTAGGTGTGCCTTGCTGTAACTTGGCCCCTCTGATCTGTGAAATGATTAATTATACTATTACAGGAGGATGTATCTCATTAAGGTACACATGCTGTAACTGTGGTTACTGTTGGTGGTGGATATAGAGTAATGATCCCTCTCTGTCATCCCGGCCACAAAGCTTTCCTTCAGCAAACCAACATTCCACAGCACATGTCGGCCCGCAGCAGCATGTCGCTCATTCACTCAGCTTCCTTTCTCTCTCTCCATCCTCCATGATTTACTTTCATATCCCCCCACCCCCGCTCTTTCATCTCTGAATGCAATAGTGTCAGAGCCATAAACTCCCAGCAGCAGAATACATGGTGGTTTAGTGGCATTGTTGGAGTGTCTCAAATGTGGAATTGCTTGATTTCAGGTCAGGTTTTGCACGGTTTTGTTTCTTACAAAGACTTTTCTTTCCTGGAACTACCTTTAAGGAAATTCCATTCTTATATTGTAGCATTGATTTGTGTTATTTTGTAATGGAAAAAAGCCATGTTTAATTCTACGACAGTTGGTAATTCAACACATTTCCCAGTACAAACCCATTTTTTTTCCAGTAATGCATGTATTGTGTGGCTGCAGTGCATTGTGGTCTATTGAAGCCACTGTCAGCAAAGCCATGAACAGTTGCCCCTCTTACACAACGGTTTTCAGACACAATTCTTAAATGTATTCAGCTTATTTGAAAGTAATTGACATTGGTTCACAGCTAGCAAGGGTGTGACAGCGTTTTGTAACCCAACCACATCATTACCTTATTATAAACTTGAGAATGTGACGATAGATATTTACAGTCTATTTCACCTCAAATCAAAAACCACACAGTTTGAGAGCTGCGCTTCAGTTGGGTTCCAGTGAATTAAGGATCCAGAGAAAGAGACAGTCAGAGATGAAGAAAAGAGAGATGGGGGGGGGGGGGGAGGTCGAAGAGCAAGCAAAGCCTAGAGAAAGCAGTGCAGTGGAGCAAAGCTAATGCAGTCACTGTTTGGTTCCCTCAGCACCTTCTACCTGCCAGTGAACAGTTCAGGCAGAAATTGCTCCTGCCTGTCTCTACCATAAGGACATGGCAGCTACAGCGCAGAATGACATCACAGTGACAGAACGTACCAACACATTCCTATAGTGCCAATATAAACAACTCTCTCCCAGGGGGGAGGAGGTCTCTCACAGAAATCCAAGGCTCCGATGTTAGAAAAGCCTGCCGGAATGTATAAAGCATGCTTAGTCAAGGTTGCACATTGCTTATTAGTAAGACCGTCCCCACAACTGGAGGGTCAGCGCTTCAATTTGTGTAGCAGGTATGTGTTCAATTTTTTTTTAATTTTGCTCAATGCTTAACATTAGAAATGTACTGAATGACAGCATCATATAATGGCAGGAAAGGGATAGTTGTTTTTTTTTTGGTAAATATTCATTTTGCTTTCTTGTCGGGAGTTAAGAAGATAGATATCACTTTCATATATGTAAGCTAAATATGAAGCTAGCCCTAACAATAGATGATAAGGACAAGAAGTGATGGGTGAGCAGTATATTCATTTGAGTCATTGCAGCTATCCGTTGCACAACACGTATTTACAGCACGGTTTATTTTTTCCACTTCTTTGTCACGTTATGTTTTTTTCTAATTGATTTGGCATCATGTAGCACTGGCTGCCTCATTAAGCCAAAGTGTGAATTTACAGCCTCTAACATTACAGCTGGGTCACGATTCTGACTTTTACCTTAATCCCCAAATCTTGTTCCAACTTGCTGATCCACTGCACTTGACAGACGGCCGCTTTAACATTCTCACTTGTGCCGTTCAATATTTAATACTTCACTGTGAATTTATTTTGTAAAGTTTATGGAAGTGTGAAAAGCACAAGTCCCACAGAAGGATGGAGGAGGGCAGGCGCATGAATGTGGGAAATAGAAAGTGTTCTGTTCGGGGAGATGAAGGCATAGATTTTCCAAAAAAAGACAACCAATGGGGGGAACAGAGCTGTTTCTGCACAGTCCACAGGGCTCACATTAAAATACAGGCTTTAACATTGTACTAAATGGAAAGCTAATGGAAAGAGGACCTTGTAGACTCACAAATGAGCTGAAACAGCTTTTATCAATTGTAAATGTGTTTTACTGATGTGTGATGAGTAATTCCTGAGACTTCAGCACTCATCAGTGATTCAGATATAAAAGGACTACGTTTATCTGAATGAACTCAACCCATAGGAGACTGTGATATCACCAGCTCATCCTTTTGTAAAGCGTCCCTTTCTCGACCAGTTCACTCTCTCACACACACACACACACACTTAACAGATCATTGTCTCCGCATAGAAACACACAAAGACATTCCTCAGTGAGGGCAATATGCTGTTGTGATAACAGTCTGTCTAAGGCGTTTTTTTTTTTTTTGTTTTTTTGAGGCCTCATAGAAAATCTCGTGTATTCCACCCCCTGCGTCTGAATTATTCAGCTTCAATGCCATTTCTATTCTTAGTACTTCTAGCAGTGTTTGGATGGCTGCAGAAGAACCCTAAGTTGAACAACATAAGTAGCGTACTGTATGCGTTGCATAATGCCTACAGAATATAAGCAAATCTTACAGTGCCGTTCTCAGCTCTTTCATTACATTTTACATTACATTACAGTCATTTAGCAGACGCTTTTGAAGAGCTGAGAAGGTTCAGATATCTGCATGAGCACAAGTAATGAGTTCTGATATTCTTGGGGGCAAAGATGTGCAACATTAATTGGGGAATTATAAAATGCTTGTTTGATGTTCCTTAACTTAAGACCTTCATGTTCACACCGTCTGCTCTTTGCTTTAAAATGTGCATACATACTGCAAGGTTGAAATGATGATGTTTGCACGTCACTTTTTAGGCTAGAAATTAATTTGCTTCAAGACAAAGAGGCCTGAATTAAATCAAGTCTAAGCGATAGAGTCTTCAACGGAACATCAAAGGTTTTGCAGACGTCCCTCTGGGCCGTTTCATGAGCATTGATCCAAAATGCCTCGTGGGAGTGTGCTTACGGTCTCCCATCCAGTGAGACTGTTTTGATCCAGCCGGGCATGGTTGCTGAGATCTGCTAATCTCTCAAGTCTGTAATTGTTCTGAGAGAAGCAGCAGAGGAAGGGTGAGTGGCAGTTAAGGAAGACATGGGAAGGTAAGCTAGGTGACATCTGCTGCATGCGATCAAAATGCTGCCACGAATAAATGTTTGTCTTTGAGATGTTATGCAATTCAGATTCCTTTCACCATTCACTCAACATTCTACCTGCAACATTCATCTCCACAAGTAAAAAAAAGTGTTCTTAGCGTTATTTGATGTTTCGGTTAAACACACCCATTAGGCTTTTCACTGTTACGAGGCTGTCATTGCCATCGCAGCATCAGCAGGATTTATGATGATGTAGAATAATTGATGATTTACATTAATGTGGCTCGTGCTATATCTTACAGCTTCCTACATTTGTTTAATCAAATCAATTGCATTGTAATTATAAACCGCAACATTGCTGTGTTGACAGAGTCAATGCATGTAAAGCACACTGAAGATGTGTTCGTGCTGACATTGACTTGTAGAAATACGTCTATGTGACAAGCAAGACATATATTATAATAGCCTCTTCTTGGAGTTCTTTGAAATAGTTTAACAGTTTTAGGTTCTGACAAAACTGTCAAAGTATGATTTAAGGGTAATTGTGACAACAAAGTAATTCAACAGTTACTTTACACTCTGTCATCTTTTGTATGTTTGCAACTACCTCATTTGGTATGAATTATTGATAAATAGCTGGCTGTTGCATGCTGAGCCAGAGAGAGGTGTAAATTATGGACTGGATTCAGTCACAGACAGGATCCTCAACTTGTCTGACAAAACCCATTCAGTACCAGCCACTCACATTTCATCTGAAATGTAAAATGTGTTCAAACACTGCTGTTGCTATGAATTTTAAATATATAGTGTATCCTCTTTTTTTCAGTTACATGTTCAAACTAAAATGAACAAATTCAATATTAAATCTTGTTCAATTGCATTGTTGACACGTCTCAGGGATCACAGGATTTAGTTTATTACCAATGTGGCATATTTGTGTTTCTCAGCCTCGAGACAAATTTTGAGAGAGCCAAGCTATTTCACACCCTTTGATGTGTAGGCCAGCATCATGGATGTACTGTACTTGCAAGATGCTGTGACGCAAATAAGATCACACATGCCTCCTGAGGGACTCACTGCACCAGCGCAAGTTCCCTTAAAGACAACCACACACAGAAAAAAATCTTGAATTTGAACATAACTAACCTGTACACACACAAACACCCTTCCTGCTTAAGCCTATGGAGAGCGAGGCTGTTGTTCTTTAAGGACAGCTCTCCAAATACTTACTGCAGTCAGTTCAGTTTTCCCCAAGACGAATCAGTCGCCACACAGGGATCAGTTGGAAATAAACCATTACATTGACAATTAAAGTCAAAGTGGGAATGAAAGGGAGAAAATGGTCAAAATGATCACAGTATGTTATGGAATTATACAGATCCAGGTCACCTCAGTTAATGCTGCCCCACTGGCAACACAGTTAATCAATCTTATTTGCATAAGGTGCAAGTGTGGCCACTCATTACCTCTGCTTATTTTTTCTCTCGCTCTCCGTCTCTCTCTGTGTTGTCACAGGGGGGAGTATTGATTTCACTGACACTTCCAGGGAATGCTTTTATTGACCCTCTGCCAACAATAAATTGTTGATTGCTGGTTGATGAAAAGGCTGCAGGCTTCAATAAATCCCCTGATAATGTCTCAATGCATACATTTTCTTATGCAGTATCACATAACTGATTGGTTTAAAGCATGATCACCCAAAAGTCCATGCTAACACACACCCGAAGCCTACAGTAAGTTTAGTCTTTGCTGCTGTTGCCAGGGTTATCCCATTGAAGTAGGCTATGCAACTTTGTTATTAGATCCAGGCTGCCTGGCAGGCACAGAGCTCTCTCCCAGCAGAGCAGCTTCCAGTCATTCATCAGTATCACTGCTAGAGAGACACAGAGAGTGATGGGAGAAGTGTGTGTGATGTGTGCACTGTGCAGCGCCACTGTCTCTGTCATTCTTTGTGTGTGTGTGCGTGTGTGTGTGTGTGTGTGTGTGTGTGCGTGAGAGATTTGGGGTACAGAAACTGCATCTCTTACTCCCTAACACAAATGTCAAGATGTCCCATTATATGTAATATTTGCAGCCCGTTGCAAGACATGATAATTAAATTTGAACATTCTGTCCTGACCTGAAGTTAAATGAACATTACAAAAGTACTAACACTTATTAGGGGGTTGGCTGTTGGGAAAAGAAGACATCAGCAAATGGTTTTGTCTGTCTTTTGAATTGTAGATATTCAAATTGCTATTTTATGAATCATTTTAGGTCTTCTCTTCCACGTTGGCTAAACAATTGTGAATAATCCCCCATTACTGTGTGAAGAATATATATATATATACTCCTACATCAATTATTTAACTTGCATTTTGTAAAGTCTTCAATATTTCATTGAATGTTGACGATTGTTTAGTTATATATATATATATATATATAGCTCAAAGGTCAAAAGGATGAAGAGTGTCGGAAATCTCTGATAAATGCAAGTAAACGGTTAAATATGGCGTGGTATACATATATAATATTTTCGTGTGATTGATACACAAGTACAATATTGTATCATTGATTTTGGGACTGAATTATGAAACGTAGGATTAGCCATTAGCCTCAACCTATAGCCTACATCAGTTAATTAGTGATAAATAAAATGCCCCTGGCAGGTCCTCACTTTACACGATACAACCCCCCCCCTCTTACGATGTGGCAACAACACAAATCGGCTAATTGAAGGGCTAATGTGGATACTTATTATTAGCCTACGAAGAGGCTACTATTGATTTTAAGTTTTAGCTTTAAACTACCTCTTAATTGTTCTGTGTGTCGAATTTGAACGAGTGGACCGCCGAAGAATCCAAATAGGAGACTCCATGTCGGACTTTTCCTCTCTCCATTCCTGTGAAGCGCTGTTTCATACGTTCATCGCTCCCTCTGCAGCCCACAGACGGAGCGATACAGGAAGACACCACAGTGCATGGGACCTTACCATCCAAGTGACGTCCTATATGATAAATCCCGACTTGTTACATTATCAAGGCAAAGAAGCAATTTCAACGAAATTCAGAGGATTACTCCTGAGGCGGTTGTCGGAGGAGCTGTGTTGACAAGGTAGGGAGCAAATGCGCAAATTGTTTGTCTCGTTTCATTCATTCTGCGGTGAGAATTTATTTGCGCTTGTCATGACTTACAATAGACGCATCTCTTTTATAAAAACATGTTTCGGAAGCCACTTTTTTGTCTCTTCTCGCGCGTGCAGTTCTGAACGTCATGCTTTTAGTTTCCATGTAAGATTGTGCGTGGTGGACTGCATTGATTGTGTTTTTTCACAACTTTCTTGTAAACCCGGACACTGAAAGAAATTAGGTAATTCCTTTTGACAAAGTTGTTGGACTGCATCCCCCTCTGTGGCACCTTGACAGCCGTCCTTACCACTTGCTGTAAGTGATAATGAGGCAAGGGAACAATATCCACCCATTATCCACCCAAGCGCCTTGACGGAACAGCCGCGTCCGCAATTGCGTCTTTTTGCGTTTCATTATAAGGATTAAATGCAGAATATTTGTCCTTTTGCAAGGGTTAACAGCTTGGAAGCTGAGCAGATCGCCACCACTTGTAGGAATAGGATACAGTAATGTTCAGCGGAACATGTGCCATCAAATCACACTGTGCCCAAGGCTGTGAGGTGTTCATCTGACCACATCTTCCTCTCATATACTCTGAAGCCTTGCAGGCTGTAGACACGCCAGCGATGGCTTCTGGGACACCCTGCCTTCTTTCCATGTCAATCTGCTCGATGTGTTCATTCAGGCTCTTTGTCCGCTTGGAAATGGGTTTGGTGTTGCATGGGGTCTGCACAGACAGCATTGCTGCAGACTAAATGTGTGATTCCAGGCACTAAAACACTGCCACAAGTGCAGTAGTAGCTTTTGAAATGTAGTCAGCATAAACCGATATTACATCTGTAAATTACTCTCTAGACTAACTCCAGCTGTGCTATGAATGGACCGCTTGTCTGATGCAAATGCACAAGTTAGTCTTCCACAATATAGCTGTGTTAATGGCTCCTGATGTCAGTTATATGCCATTAGGATAGACTGCAATTATTGTTGTGTGTATGTGTAGAGGGGCACTGAGCCAATTGGGAAAAAAAAAAAAAAAAAGCAATTCTTATTCTGACTCCAGCAGAGGTATAGAGTCAGATTCAAGGAGGATCGGAAGGGATCAAGGCTAAGAGGTCAAGTATAAAGAAGCTATTAGCACCTACCAAAATTAATTAAGTGCCTGAATAATACAGGAACAGGAATATTGACTGAAAGCTGCAGGCCACATAGATCCTCTAGATTTGATTTAATGTGCTACAGGATAACAGGCATATTTAATGACCCCCCCCCCCCCATCTTCTTTTTCTTGCCTATACTTCAGGTGATAGGCATTGCAAGGCAGATATTTTTCCAAGCGCATTCTTTTATCGCAAAGAAACAGCGAAGAGTCCTGTAATCTGTTGATGTTCCCCTCTGTGTCATTCCCTTAAACCGTTAATGTGCACACTTTCCTTGTTAAACACAAGGCCCCAGCATCTGCCCCCCCCTCTCCCATCCCCCCATTAGAGACCCTCTGCATTTTGCTCGTATGACTGACTGCAAGGGCTTCATACGAGTGTGGAAACGGAGTGTTGGAGTGATCATTGCTCGACAGATAATTACGCACTCTGTGCTGAACTCTCAACCTTGTGCCTGTGCTTCATTAGCTTCCTTTTTGTCTCGGTGCAGCTATCAGCTGTAGTGGCTTCCCCCTGTGTCATTTTCATATATCTCAGTCACCTGATACAAGTGAGCATAATTTACAGATTTGAAGGTATTTTGTGACTTCCTGTTATTATTCCCATGTCAATTAGAGCAGGGCTTATCCTGCTCCGGTCTGTGTTGTGCTGTTGGTGAAGCTGCGCTATGGTTTAGTTAAAACACGATGAGATTTGCTCTGCTACAAAATACCTGTAAACACTGCTTCAGCCGCTTGCTTTCCACTTGCCGCCTGTGGAATATTAAGGATGCTTTCGAAGGGAGATAAGGGCTGTTGAATATTTAAAAAATCTCTGTATATTTTTCACACTTCTAGCATACCCAGCAAGCCTCGCTTTCCATGTAATTATGCAGATAATGCTTTCCGGATGTTAATGTGTCATCCCAGACCATCCGAATAGCCTTGTTTGTGTGTTTGTTGCTCTGTTTCGAGTCTTAGAAGTCATGGAACCCTGAAATTAAAATAAAATTAGAAAAGGACCATCAGATTTGAGCAGACCAAAGGGCAGAAGGAGGCTAAGAGTGGCACAAATATTGCTTTCTAACACCCCAAGGCTTTACGATAAAGTAAGGGATGATGACAGCAAAGAAGATTGTGCAACGCATAGTGATGACATAGCTGTTACTCATGACTTGTCCCCCTCAGGTTTTTATTAGGGAAGGCCAGAAGTCACAATGGTGTTGGAATGATGGTTGTGGATGACAGCGATGATGAGTCGGCTATAGCAGTATTCTCTGATGCGCTGTAGTTCCAGGCTGTGTTCTTTTCTTTGTTGAATTTTAATTACACTGCACTGTTCTACTGAGCAGAGCCGTCAGGTCCCACAGAGTCTTGTTGCTTCTCAGTGGTTCACCTATGAGGAGCAGGACATTCTCTGTGTCCGAGTCTTCTCTCTTGCACCAGTAAGACTTACTAGCTTAGTTTGAGGGGACTCTTCAAGCACCTCTGCACTAATCTCAGCCCGAGCACTTTCCGCTGCACTTTGCTGCTGTGATTGGCCGTCAGCAGGCCAATTTCATTTCTTCATCTTTCCTCCTGTGGAATTATAATTTTTTTTTTTTTCAAAAAGTATGCAGAACAAGCAGTGTGATCCCTCATGGGAAACCAGTGGAGAACCTTTTATGTTTTTGTGCTCCAACTGTGAGGTTTAGAGAGAGCTGAACGTCTTTATAAAGCCTGTATTCACCGAAGACTCCAGGTCTATCTCCTCACTGCCCACGATAACGGACCTCACTGTACCCGGGCAGATTGTTACTCACACTATTCAGTGCAATTTACTGATCCTACTCCTCTGAGATCATCTGCCTTTTGAGGAGTTTTAGGATGAAAAAAAAAAAAAAATCACTTTCTGCTCCCCCAGGATTTATTTCTAATAATTAGTCGGTTTTTTTTCTTCCTACTCTTGACTTTCAGCAATCACCCTAACATGTTCATTTAGCTGCCCCGTTCACTTAAATGACAAATATAGTTAATTTGGAGGTCGAACCGATTACCCTTATATTGTGCTGCAGCTGAGGCATGAGACAAAGTGCATTACACTTACTGATGATGTCACCTTGCTGTATACAGTATTATGCTGAGGGAGGACTGTGTGTGCAGCAGCAGCTTCTAAGTCACAGCTATTGAATGTCTGACGAAGAGCATTGTTTACCATTACAGCTTCCCTTCATTGCTGCTCATGCCTGCAGGACTTGTACGTTATACGTATGCCTCAGGCTTTCTCTCTGTGTTGAGTGTGTGTGTTTCTCTACACACATTATAAACAGGAAGTCGCTTACAGTATGTCGTATCACATCCTCATATTTCCATAGTTCTGTCAATCCTTCTGTCTTGTCTATTTGTCATTAGTGAGGACATGCTAATGCAGCGGTCTCACCTTTTTTCCACTTTACAAACATGCAGTGACACTGGGTCCCTTTGCATGTGTGATGCCATTCATGCCACAGCATGCCATGTTGTATGCTTTAGTGCGACAGCCTGCTTTTCATTTGCCTTTCAGCAGAAACTGGGGCGCTCATTTGTTGATATGAAGACGTACTGTAGACCTGCAATCGACAGGGGACAATGTCTATTCTGGTGGGAGAGCGAGGGAAAGGGGCAGAGGCATGTTTGTATGCCTTCCAGCTATTGGAGCATGCTCCGACTGTGAAAGGGCACTGCCATTGTTGGGTAACATAATCCACCAGGGAGGCCTTCGGCCAGACACTGTGGAGGACACCCTCCCTCTCAGTACAGATGAATATCCCTTTCTTTTGCTGGAATCAGTTGCTGAATGCTGAGCAATTTTCAACTGTTACTGAACCTGTGTGTGGGGCGATAGTGTACACATCCACTTATTGTTGCCATTCTGAACACAAGCTCTCTGCTAGCTGACGGCTTGTTTAAACAGTCTTATTGAAAGTGGTATATGTTCTGCTTTGCTTCACTGTCGGCGCGGGGCTGAATGGAGAAAAATAGACAAACAAATACCTCCTCTGGGAGAAAGTAATTCTAGAGATAACTCTGTGGTTGGTTTTAATGAAGTATGGTGGTGTGTATGGTCACCTGCGAAAACTGATACCAACAATAATGTGTCCGATTTGTGGTTTGAGAGTGGAATCAGTGGCTCAAAATGGATTATACAGACATGCTTTAGTATTGGATCGCTTGGAATCGAATAAGTATAGACATTATTTCCATAACCATCATGGAGACCGATGTATTGTAGTAGGCTGTGTATTGCACTGACTCTATGTACACGCATGCAAACAAACACACACTCGTACAGATACAACTTCCACACTTGAAGGAAGATCAACCTGGTTTCAGCTGCCTGATCAGCCAGTTATCTGTTGTGCAATACATAACTTAGTTTGTAAAGCCTGATGTAAGTGTATGGGAAACCTCTTCAAATACAAACGGTATAATATGATCTTTGCCAATTGTTTGTCATTCTTCATTCATTTTGATATATTTTGTATTTGAGATCAGGAGTCAAAAGAATTGCTGAACTAAACCGTCCACTCAGGACGTCCAAAACATTGACTCGGAAGAAATTGACTAAGGTACATTCCTATTTGCAGTGTGGAGTTCCTCCACATCTATTTCTAACCTTTTCAGGTTATCAAATATCTTTAAAAGTCAAACGGCAGTCATGCTGGTTCACATATTCACTTTTCTCACTTACAATTTCATTTTCTTTGTGAGTCAAAAGCTCCTTGCTGCTAAGTGAAGCCCTTCATTACCTCGATTGTGAGGGCTCTACATGCGAATGGGTAGTATACATATTTGTTGTTCAAATCGCTTTTTTTTATAAAGCAACATTTTGC